TCGCTATCCGGGCGAATGCACTGACCATTATGCTACTACGGCCCTATTTGCCGCGTCGAAATTTTCCTAGCCTTAAGCTGCAAGGCAGCGCCATCTCTTCGCATTGTAGGTAACCCACAGTCTTTTTTTGGGTTTCAGTTCTAAGTATGGGGAACTCCCAAAATTTATTGTTTTTTTTTTCTATTTTTGTGTGAAAATCATAATGCGGTTCACAGAATACATCTCTACTTACCAAGTTTCAACAGTATAGTTCTTATAGTTTCGGAAATAAGTGGCTGTGAAATACGGTCGGACAGACGGGCGGACATAACAAATCTATAAGGGTTCCGTTTTTTGCCATTTGGCTACGGAACCCTAAAAATGTACAGGATCTCGCGTACCGAATACTTTAACAAATGAATGAAGTTGTGTGTACCAATTAATACAATAAAGACTTTAAATAATGATACTATAAGACATTTTTAAACTCTTGGTGCTCTTTCTTCCTTATTAATAAAATAAGCTGGACTCGTTTTGCAGTGCTTTGTTCACATTCGTCAATTTCCTAGTAATTTTATGATTATTTTCCTGTAATTGATACCTAAGTATAGCTTATAGTGCGATTAAAAATATGTGATTAACTCTACCACGACGTCCCTAATGGCAGAAAGTTATTTTTAACCATATTAAGCCAAGGAAATGGGTCACTACAGATTACTGCGCGTAAGACTTTTAAAGCAGTCGTAAAATTTAATACCAGTGATATCACATCGTAACAATTACATAACGCTGAGAAGGCAAACAATATAGGATCAAAGCATGTCAATAAATAAATTGAACATACACCATTAAATAATAATATGGTATCGCTAAAATATTAAAAACAAAAAAGACGAATTTAAGTAAAGTAATAGCTAGCGAAAATAAGTTCGCCCTCAGTAATTAGAGTTTCTGACGATTTTCTAAAACGTGATCCGTTAGAGTTGTTATGCGAATTTTAGGCAAATTAACATAGCGGTGTGTTGTGTCTGAATCATCCTGCTGCTTTAATAAGAACCGGAATCTTGGTACCGTTCAGAAACCTCCTGTTGAACTCATGTATGTAGATGTAATGTAACCAAATTGGTACAGTTCTGCGAATGCAACATTTAAAGTCCAATGTGTGATTCAATGAACTGATCGCCACTTACGCATGATCTCTCAATATCGTCTATGTTTCCTGAAGCTCGTTCAACTGTGTCGGTTCTTGCTATTCTGGCTTCATTCGACGACTAACACCTACCGTAATCAATGCAAATTTTGTACCCTATAGCTACGCTCTTCAGTTGATCTCTTCTAGGATAAGATATGTCGTGAAGTGATACTGAAGGTATTGGCTGTATTAAATGCGTTTTGAACATTATGTCAACGAAGTCACTTAACTAGAATAAAAGTAGATAATATCACAACATTCTTATTGCGTTTCTGTGTCACGTCACGAATCGCGAAAGCGACTTATCATATTGCCTCAAATATTGAAATGTTGATGAGATCTCTAGGCGAAATATATTTCCGATTTCAAGCAATATTATGATTTCTTGCCCCAGATTTGCCGGTACGTCGACCGATTTCGTTTTATGGAACGTCTAGAAATCACCTGTGATGCTGTTCGTTTAAAGCTTTTCAATTTCGACCAGTGGGAACTTTTAGAATATGTTGAAATAAAAACATATATTCGATATTGCAAAATGGTGTCCATGCAGTTTTAAAAGTAGATAAGACTACAATCATTATGGTGTGCGAAGTTATCGATCAAATTATTTTTGAAACAATATAAGCCTTATTACAACATTACATGAGCTAGCTCCAAGCGTATAGGCACAGTACCGTTATATAATTATGATAAAAAAAATAAGGGATTGTTTTTTAAGTACTTGAAGAGCAGCCTTGATTATGTTTGAGTGCTTACTTAGCACCCATTCCCAGTTTTAAATGAATTTTTCTATCTATTTTATTAAGAAAAAAAAAAGTTTTTATTTTCATTGTCACCTCCTGATAGTGGGAATAATTAAATTAGGACTAGGTACCTCAAATACTTCTAACATTACTGTGCTGTTTTGTAAATATTGGTAATTGAGTTTATGTACCCAAACTAATTTGCTACGACGAATATGTTCAAAATTAAGTAGGCCTGTTATGAATAGATTTTCAATAAGCATGCTCGTATAAGTTGTCTCCTAATTTCTGTAGTGTTATTAGGGAAGGAAAGGTCAAAACAGTGGCGCCACCGTGGGCGTCGGGTAGGCGACTGAATATATAGAAATCTTGGTAATGGACATTCATGCCGATATACATATAGTAGGATGTGACATGTTTTTGATACATGCCTAATTTACTATAATAATATAATATTTCTCTAGCTTTGGAAGTTGTGAACTGGTTTACTGTCACAGATTAAGTGAATTAACACATTTCGGTTATACCCGTATTAATTACGTTGTGTATTAAAAACGGAGGTTTATAATATTACGACGGGTCAATGATAAGCTGGTTAGTTGTGATTCATATATTTGAATTGTTCTCGTTGGAGCCCACTTTTGAATCCCAGATCAATATTTTTGGCGTCGGGTCCCAAAAACATTATTTTGTATTTCCACTAAATCCCACATTTTAAAAATGCAATAGAATTACGTTTTTTCAGAACATCATCAATTTCGATATCTGTTAAAATACGAAGCTATTTTAGTCGAATAGTCTCTGATCGGATAATGCGCGGCGCACTGGATTCGCTTCCACCACATTCAATAAATCTAAAAAGAAAATAACACGTAGAAAAATTTTGGAATGCAATATTATGGTCGTTCATGATCACATACTGCAGTAGAGACACTTACTGGGCAGGTAAAGGTACCGATATCTCAACATCAGTTGGCGACCTATATTATAGAAATAAAATAGCCAAATTAAATTATTTTGCTGGTATTCAAAACTTTTAGGTAAGAACCACAAATATACACACTCTGTCATTTGTATGTCCAAGTTCGTTGACCGATTTTTAACAATTACCACGATTCTGCTTCTGCTTAAAATGCTTCTTCACGCCTCTCTTAAAGGACCCCAGATTATAAGAAGGAGGGAAAACGTACGCGGGCAAAGAATTCCACTTACGAATAGTACGACAAAGAAATGAGTCACCAAATTTCTTTGATCGTGTAGGAATAGTGGCCACAGTAAATCGGTGGCAACGTAGGCCAGCGCGCATGGTTCTCTGAAGAAAAGGTGATGGAGGGATGGAGGGAGGGAAGCGAGAATAGTTCCTCAGAAACACGCCGTGATATAGTCGTTAGAATGCGCTTAATGATGCCACATCACGGCGTAATTGTAGACTCGAGTTTCTTAGTTACCTCTTCATCGCCAATGATGCGGGCAACGCGCCGCTGCAACCTATCCAAGGCATCGAGTAAGTACTTAGCGCAGCCATCCCAGAGGTGCGAGCAATATTCCACGCAGGAGCGCACTTGCGTTTTGTACAAAAAGCACAGTCGATCGGGCGTGAAAAAACGCCGCACCTTGTTCAAGACTCCCGAGTTTGCGTGAAGCTGTTTTGATCAAGGTTTCGATGTAGTCCTTTGGATCCAGGTCTGAGCTAACTTCCAAGGTAATATACTAAACGAGCATGGTAATATTGCTCTGCAGCTTGCTCAGTGTTGTGCCCTGAAGAGAGGGAAGGAGAAGGAAATGCGATGTTTTTGCCGTGAAAGCGCAAGCCTGAGTTTTCTTGTCATTGAACTCAACCAAGCTCCTGGTACCCCATTCGGAAATATGGTCCAAAGCCTGATTGAGTTCAACAACAAGATTCTCCTGTTTCTCCATGGTTTCTACCTGTCCAGCCGCCGCATGTCCAAAATATCTCGCATGCACTGTACTGTCGTCTGCATAGCAATGAATATTCGCAAGTGGAATCAAATCATTGATATGCAGCAGAAAGATTGTGGGGGATAGAACGGAGCCCTGAGTAACACCCGCATTCACTGACATGAACTGCGAACTACATCCGTCCGTGAGGACACGAATTCTACGCTCATGCAGGAAGTCAGTTACCCATGCGCAGAGCTGAGCAGGCAGACCGTATGCAGGAAGCTTGGCCATCAGGGCCACTACCGTGGCGTGGAATTATGCTACCGCATAATTCATCAGTGCATTCGCCTGGATAGGGAAGGGTGCAGGTTTGAGTCCTGTCTGCTGCTAGGTCTGCGTGGAATTCATTCTAGTAATATAAACATTATTTGTTTACAAAACATTTCTTTCTGTTGCCAATTCTTCACCCAGTATTTCCTTTTTTGCCATATTTCTTATGGTTTGTTTTTTTATTACTTTATATAGGTACCTACTTTCTTCTTGCACAAAGAACTTACTAAACACAAAAGTTATAAATTTAGTTATAAAGTTAGGTTTACTCATTGGGAATTAATAAGTTAACTTGAAACATAACTGTACAACTGATTCATATTCATTTTTTACATAGGTGTACATATAAAATTAATGAGAAATCAAGATGAGATATTATGCATGAGATCTGTGTACCAATGGCTTAAAAGGCTACGGTTTAGTTACCATAAACATTTGGGTGAAACTGAGTTTTAAGCTCCTAAACATCCAAAATAAAATAAGATTACATTAAACTAATAGGCTACAATATATTTTAAATTTAACACAGCTTGTTTGAGATGTAAACAACACTCTTCTCTTTACTCTCACACGAAAAGAGCCCTGGTTTTATCCAAAGGCCCTATTAGGACAAACTGGGGGAAATCCGGGCAGACAGTTGTACTTAATTCCATTAGTAGCCCAGGTTAAAGCCACTAAAAAGCTGTTAGCTTAGATTCATAACTAACGATTATGAACAAGTGTTGATGAATAAATAGTTACTTGAATTCAACCACAGAGAACAAGAAATTAGGATACATAAATCTAATTTCAATAAACAGTTGATCACTAATTACCGGTAAGGAGAAACATAAACAAAAGGTACTGTAACTTACATGCCAAACGAACGATGAGTACTAGATGCTCGCTGCAACTGCAACATTCACTTGTTAGAAAATATAATACAAAATTTAATCTAATGCTAAAACTTAATTTTTTATCTGGATTTTTTAAGATTCAATTCAATTATTCAACCAAAAATGCCCTTTTCAACATTATCCCTTTTTAGGAAAGGCAAAGGGAACAATGCCCACACAGCCGTAGTCAACACTACAAAAAAGTTCTCACGTCCACTTAACTGAAATAGCGTACATTTTAAATATTCCACTAATTTTTCAGTTGTGCAGACGGTTGTTACACAAAATCACACCAATTTTATTGCACAATATTACGACGAATTAAAGAATAATTAAAATAAGACGCCAACCGCACTCGATCTAATATAAAATATTTTGGAATTGTAGATCTGTTGTCTATAACTTCAGGGAAGATGCAATATTTTTATTTTTGTTTTCATTTTAAAGAATTCCATGTAGAATAAACCACAGATATATTAAAAAATTAAAACATTGTGATTTATCGGAAAAAATGCGGTTTTAAATTGACAATTTAAATTTTCGCGCGAAAACGAACCTATGGTTGCGCTGACGTCACTCCTGTCTGTCACTGGTCGTACTTGTTCCTTGCTGGCTTTAAATTTTCAAACTTTTGCATATTTTTTCGAATTTCGAAATATTTTTTTGAAAAATTTAAAATGGACTATCCATCAACATCATGTGATCATAACAATACCACTAACATTCCGAAAAAAAAACCGTGTGGACTCATGTTTTGTGCCAATCTACTTCAACAAAGTTCCCAAATAAATTGATTTTGACTGAAACTTCTGACCCAAAACTGAAAAAAAGTGGTTTCAAGCTGCGAAGAGAAATGACAATTATTCTCCAAAGACCATTATTCGATGCTGAGAAGATCACTTTGACGTAAGTCGGCGAATATACTTGTTATATGCTTAATTAATCTGCTTGTACGTAAAAACGCATTAGTAACCTACCTAATACATACTTACAAAACCAAGACAGGTTTTTTTATATATTTTTAATTTTACAGTTGGAGAACGACGTCGAAAATTAGATAAAGTTTAAAATGTGTGGCACAATCTTCACATTGGCAAGACTGAACCTAGCTTTGCGTTTCATTTAAAATAACTGTAACACGATAACCTTCTTTATGTACTTTATGCTCCGGAGAACTCGACCTTTTACTGTACATAATTCTCCATCTCTTTTAATTTGGACATAGCCGATTGCATTATCGCCGTAAGATTTGTAGAAGCCGCTGAATAAAATACGAAGTTTAACAACTACGATTTTTACATACCGTAGTAATTTAGTCCCTTTCATTTCTACACTTAAAAACTCTGCACTTTGGACAAAAAAAGTTATAACCATGTCAACGCTAACTCTTGGTAAATTCCTGGAGTCTGCTTTGATAAACGCAACTTCCATTTTTATTAAATGTAAAAAAACGCATTAAATATTCCCATAAAATAATATTTACTTTAACAACCATAACCTCAAAGAAGTTGTCATAACAGGAGTGACGTCACTAAACGCTGATTGGTGTTTTAAAATACGTTCCGTTTCAAGTATTTTTAATTCGTAATAATTGTTAAAAAATAACATTATGTAAAATAAAAACGTTGCAGTGGCATTTCTTTTATATTTTTTTAACATTTTAATCATAAAATTTTCATAAATATTATGTATGCATCTTCCCTAAACCGTTTGCCAAAACCACAAAAACAAAATGTCATGTTGACTATGACAGCTTGGCTGGCGGCATGCCATTTTCCTTCCTGCCATTCCAACCAATGCAATGACGTTGACATTGACATGTACGTATCATAAAATACATTTTTGTTGGTTGGCGGTATTAAAGTTATTTTTAATGAAATAAATAACAATAAACTATTGACTATAAAATTAAAGAAAATGCTATGATTAATATTGAGTCAACTTAATTGAAGTCATCAAGATGGAAGAAGAAAGTAAGCAATTTTCGAAATATTGGGCCTTGTCGGACTCGTACAAAATTTGTTTGTATACTATTATTTATTTTTACAGAATTAATTCGTAAAAAGAAGAAAGCCTTAAATGGAAGTAATAGGAGAGTTTTGGCAGAGGTTTGCAATGATCTAGCATCGTATTACTACAAGCACAATCGTTATAATGACGCTCTCGAAGAATATAAACTTGAAGCTGGTATATGCAAGGAGTTGGGCTTGCGTTTGGAATGGGCAACTTGTAATAGAATGATTGGTGAAATGTATATGCTCATGGCGGAGTTTGACAAGGCTCTCAAGTATGAGGAGCGTCATTTGGGTAATTTTGCTTTTACAAAAATATTCCGTAGAACTCGCAAAACCTTATTTAATATTACTGTTTTGTTTATATTTTCCCTGTTTAAACTTAAATAAATTAGTTCATACTCAGTTACAGCAAAAGAGCTTAATAATCTGGTTGAAGAACAAAGAGCTATGGCAACTCTTGGTAGAATTTACTTATTGCAAGGCCAAAGCACAACTAATGAGGCTGAGTGCAAGACATCCTTAAAAGCAGCTGAAAAGGCTTTCATGAAAAGTCTTGTGCTCTGTGAGAAGTTAGTATTTATATAATTATCAACTTGTGTTATACTTATTGACAAATATATAAATATATTTGTTTATTCTTTGTTTTTAGACTGAGTGGTAAAATAACAAAACATGAGTTGATGGATATGAGAGCTCGCCTGCTCTTGAATATTGGAGTTGTACAAGAACACCTTGGCTTCCTTGACAAAGCTGTTGATTGCATTAGGAAGGCAATAACTATATGTTCCAATGAAGATTTGTATGATATTTTACATAACTGTTACACTACAGAGGCATTGTTGCACAATAATAAGAAAAAAGACTATGCAAAGTCTTTGAGTTGTCTTAACAAAGCTCTAGAAGTGGCTAGCAGGCTTGATAATAAGGTAAATTAATATTGGTGTCAATTCTGACAGGGTTCTCTAAACCTAAACTTTTATTTCAAAAGTCTATCCTTGTTATTCTCTGTACAAAATGAAAAGAAGGGACTGATGTTCAATTTAGTTTTAAGCTTATTGAACCATGCCAGAATCGGCACCACTATGATAGTAAAGGTTTGTTTAAACTAAATCCTTTCCCCCTATTGACAAACAAGGGTTAAGCTTACAATAGTTATGCTGTGTTTTGTTCATATCACTCAAATGCCATTTGACCTTCAATGAACAAAGATAAAACAGAGTTTTTAAACCAATAGACTATAGTTTTTGTTCTCAGGCTTGTATTATACACAATGACATTCTTCTTATACCTAATTACAATGGGCATGTGCCGCCAGGCCCCCCGCCCGGTAGCATCAGAATCCCTATGTCCCTGCATTTTAAAATCTGTAATATCTTCGAAAATATTCATTTAAATTACATGCTTTAAAGAGCCAAATTGATCAGTATTAAATACACAATGTATTTAAGGTACTTAATTGGTTAAGGATGAATGTTATATTGCTGAACATCCCTTCTTAATAAGCTATTATTTCTCTTAAAAAGTATAGAATAAAAATTGGTTATTGTGGGTTATCCCTAAGAGATAGATATATAACATCGTGGACTTTTATGTAGACCTTTTTAAGGTGTACAATACTGTAATACATTATTTTGATCTATCTCATGGGGTTTATACCTATAAACCTTCCTCTTGAATCACTCTATCTATTAAAAAAAAGGCATCAAAGTCCGTTGCGTAGTTTTAAAGATCTAAGCATTCATATACATAGGGACAGACAGCGGGAAGCGACTTTACTATGTAGTGATTACGAACCTGAACTTGAATTTACAGATTCTTAAAATGTGTGAAACACTATCATCGAAAGCAGAGATACTGTGCAAGATGTCTGACTATCAGAGTGCTAAACAAGTACTACTCAAAGCTTGGAAGATGAAAACACCAGATGAAGAGGAACATGAGAACATTGAATCTAACTTGAAAGTTGGTGGGTATCTAAAATAAAAATTTCTTTGACACTGATGCTAATACTTCACTTGGCTATTTACTTTTTGTAAACTTGACTACAGCCTGTCCTTATCCCTCTTTATAAGGAGTAAAAAGGACAGACCAATGTCAAGTTTACAAATAGCTAACACAAATAACCAAGTGAAGTGGTGGTATGATATCCTCATTGATAGCGAATTATTATTACTGTCTTTAACTTCATAATATATTTCTCAAAATAGTACAACTATTTTGAACTAATAAACTACACAATGAAAAGACTTGATCATCAGCCTATTGATGTCCCTACTGTTGGCACTTACCATGCAGACCCAGTGCAATTGGTGTGTACTAACGACTGCTGATGCAGCTGGGACCAACAGCATAACATGCCTGCCGAAGCACAGAGGAGCTCGAGTTAGTAAATTTTTGTCACCCATCCAATGACTGACCACGGCGAAAGTTGTTTAGGTCGCAGCCGAAAGCGCTAATCACTTACGTCATCAAGCTCCTTCAGTCTATCTGCGGAAATTAAATAAGGATATCCTATCATCATCATCATCAGCCTATTAATGTCCCCACTGCTGGGGCACAGGCCTTCCCTATGAATGGAATAGGGAGATTGGGCCATGACCCACCACGCGGACCCAGTGCGGATTGGTGGGTGCTAACGACTGCAGATGCAGCCGGGACCAACGGCTTAACGTGCCTTCCGAAGCACGGAGGAGTTCGAGATAGTAAAGTTTTGGTCACCCATCCAATGACCGACCACTGCGAAACTTCAACGATCGCAGCCGAACGCGCTAACCACTTGCGTCATCGAGCTCCTCATCGGATATCCTATGTTATATTCTATTTCCAATATTTTTTAAATAGTTCTCTTATTCTGTGTTATACAGTGGCAGCCATGTGCTATACTGAAGATTTATTGATATCAACCAATCCATCTGATCATGCAACTTTTAAGAAGCTGTATGAGAAACTGGGTGATGGTGCATGCCATTTGCGCAATTATGCTGGTGCTATAGAATATTATTTGAAAATGTTAGATCATGCAGAACTTTCGGGGAATTGTGGAAAGATTCTTATACCTATTTATGTCAGGTGAGAAATTTTTAGTATGTAATATTTAGTTTGTAATTCACTGCTATAATGTATGCCTGTACATTTTTCATACAGAGTAAGTAAATTACGTATATTGAAAATATTCAAGTTATGCTCAATCAATTTTATGGTTTTCTTGTTACTTGTAAAGCTAGAAAGTTCATGGATGTGATCTTGTGTTATAAACAAAAATTATACTAAAAATGATAAGTAAAGTGTTTAAGGGAAGAAGGTTTTTTTTTATCATTCTTGTTCTTATCTTGGCAACTCCTAACTCAGTTTTTAAAGATTGTCAATAAAAAGCCCAAATTTTAAACTGTTGGTCTCCATTCTGAATTTTTCCAGTTTATATCAAACCTACAAAGACATGGGTTGTTACAATGAAGCTTTAGAATATTATGAAAAGGAGTATGAGCTTATCAAAGATATACCTAAAGAAGCGTACACCACTCTGTACAATATAGCTGAGGCCAGATTCTTAGCCAAAAAGCCATACCATCAAGTAGAGAAGGCTTGCTTGGATGCGAGAAATGCAGTAAGTTTTAAATTTAGCTGAGGTTTTATATGAAGTGCTGCAGTGTGATTCTAGATTTAGTGGCTCAATATATTATGTGTATATGCATATGTTTGAACAGAATTTTAATACAACTAATGATGTGTGTTAATGTGGATATTGTTATAACTATCCAAATATTTTGTTATTAATAAATTACAATATTTAATTTCTAAAAAAACTTTTTTATTTGTCATTATTATTATCTAGGTAGGTATATAAAACTATACAAAGTCAGGTATACTTGAATGATTCATGACTTTCTATGCACAGGCTAAAGAGTGGAACAAGAGCAAGTATGAAATAAGAATATTGAAGAATTTACTGAAATATCAAGAGGAGTATGGTGAGATGGAAAAAATGGAACAGACACAAGACGAATTGCGGTCTTTGGGTTATGACTCTGATAACCTTGAAAACTCAGAAGACGAGCAAAGTTCAGCCGGGGGTGGTGATGAAGATACGACGCATATCGGGGACGATATCTGCCTTGACGATCTTACAGGTCTCAAGTTAAATAAATTGAAAATAACACAAACAACAGTTCTCATGTCAATTTGTTTAGTATAACCTTAGCTGGCATTAGTTCACGTAACAGGCACTAATAGTTCATATAACACGGAAGTCAATTTGGATAGCAATTTTGAGGTCAAAACTGTCATCTCTTGAATTACTAATTTCTTGAATTTTACTGCATATTTCATAGTAGTTGAACACTTGCTAAAGATAAGTTTATAAAATATTGAATGCATTCGGGCTTTGTGGACTATAATCGACTATAATCTTTGAACTTGTAGATGTCTCTGACACAAATGAAGAAGACATACCAGACAAAAATAGAGAAACAAGGAAGCGCGGCAAAGGCTTCAGCATCAAAAAGAACATGAAAGGAGAGACTCAGTTGCATGTTGTAAGTTTTTTGTTTAGTACAAATATCCTTTTATTTGAATTTGTTGAAAATTTCCACTCTCTTGATCATAATCGCAGCACACTATGATGGCCCTTTTGACACATTGCAATAGTGATGAGAAAATTCATTTGCTATCGTTTTTTTTTATATAATCTTGCGAGTCAGGTTTTGAAATTTTAACCTATATTGCAAGATCTTGCTGATTATTATTTGCATGATATTAAATTTCTTAATGATAATAACAATAAAAAAACAACTTAATCCTGTAAAGATTCTGTCAAATGGCCAGTGTTTTCATTTTAATGAATGATATTAAATTTAATGGTTTTAACTTGAAAAAGTTTTCAGAATCATTATACATATAGATAGGCCATAATACAAGAAAGTTTTGTAAAATTTTAATTCTACGCCCTAAAATTATCGATTCTATAAGTGTTATGAATAATGCGCGTCTCTACTGACAATGAAGAACATTAATTATTTCTTTCAAATGTAGAACTAATTTCGAATATGAAACTTGATGGAGTCACAAACGTCAAAACGGTTAATCATAATCATAGCGTGTCGCTTCTATAGTTCTTACTAGTGACCCGCCTTCACTTCGGAAGGAGAAAACTATATATATTTTTTGTTTCTTAGGTTTATACGCACACCACTCATTTAATCAAACAAGTTTCAATGGTATAGATGAACTTCAGACACAAAAAGTCTTTCGAAGGTAGCTCGACAAAGTAAATAAATAAATCAGTACCTAGATGTACCTTTGAAACTTGTTTTATTTTCTTAGTTTTTGTTCTCGGCATGTATTATATGTATATAAAGCTTTCCTTTGAATTATATCTATTGCTGAAAACTGTATATCAAGATCCACTACCTAGCTTAAAAGATCTTAGCAAACAGACAGCGGGAAGGACTTTGTTTCATACTATGTAGAGATTTCTATTTAGATGACATAGTAATTTGTTCTAGGCATGCATATCAGGTAACAAGCTCCTTGTAGAAAGGTTACTAGCTAAAGGCCACCCAGTGAATATAAGGGACAATGCTGGCTGGATGCCTTTACACGAAGCTTGCATCCATGGTCACGTGGAGATAGCTAATATTCTGATCAATAATGGGGCTAACATCAACGATAGGGGAGGGTCGAATTGTGATGGTAAGTACAATATATTGAAATAAATAGTAATTTGTTCAATTTAGAAGAACAATATTTATTTACATAATAATGACGACTGCTTACATCGCATAGAATATGAATATTTTATCTGGCAGGAAATAAATTGTCTTCTCAAGTTTTAAAATTTCAAAATTGTTCAAAGTAATTTTTCTATGTAGAAGGATATTCCTAAAGGAAATTTTGAATTTGTCAGGTATAACGCCATTGTACGACGCTGCAAGCAATGGTCACTTCGATGTTGTTCAGCTTCTATTAGAAAAAGGTGCTTTACCTTCTCTCAAAACGGATTTTGGCGAAACGCCTCTACATGCGTTGCAAAAATGGCGCGCCAGTAGAATACTAACTAAAGACGAAGAGGTCGAATACAATAATATTTGCAACAAAATCCATAGTTACATAGATAAGACAGGTGGAGTAGACCTTAACAGGTCTAAATCTAAAACTCCTATCAAACTTGTTAAAGATGTCACTCCACCAAGCACTTCAAAAATGACTCGCCGCATAAAAGAACTAGAATCGCCCGTGTTCAAAAAGCGAAATATTATTGACGATGATGATGACAGCGAATGCGAAATTAACGCGTCGCAAAGCTTTAGAAATAAAACCGCTTTTCCCTCAGACGAGTCAAATGATTCTTCAGATGATTGTAAATCAAGTAAAGTTGAGGATAAAATATCTGGAGTTAAAGAATACAAAAGTGCAATATCCGCCTTGAGAAACAGAAATATAACTGATTATCCCGAATCAGATGTTAAGAGGACCAAACCGAAATCGGCATTGTTGGACCCCGAAGAAGTAGACGACGATTGGCTTGACGACGATTTAGGTATAAATAAAAATAACAAGAAAAGGAAACTAAGCGATCCCCCAACTGTAGTCGCTAAGAAACCTTCCTATGACAGTATTAAAAACAACATCGAAAACATCAATAAAATTACCGAACCACTTGTAAATATTAATAATAAAATAAATCAGAAGCAGAACAAAACGCGTATTAGTGATATCATCGATATAAATGACAATAGTTCCGATTCAGAACATTTCCACAAAAACGAAAACGTTTGCCCAAAAATCTCTGCAACCGAATCATTTGTAAATATCTCTAGGGAATTAAACGATTCCAGATCCAAAGACAGTCGAGACAGTATGCGAAGACGATGGAAAAGGCAAAGCACGTTATTAAAAGCTGGCTTTCATAGGAAAAGAGATGAAGACATTTCGAGTAATAGCGGTAGTGATAATGAAGTTTGCAGAATAGATTCCGTTAATCAGAGACAAACGTCGAAAAAATCATTTTCACGTAACTCCTCTGGGGATAATTTCAATTACAACAGTAACGATGGTTTTAACGTAGTACGAAATTTAAGTCCTAATATAATGCAACCTGTAAATATCATCCAACCTATAAATATAATGCAACCATCTAAAAACGTCCGGTCTGTGCAGTCCCAACAGATATTGCAACCCGCCGCAGTCAAGGTGCATGTGGAGGATAAAACTTTCCTGATATCATTGAACTTGAAGAATATAAATAAATTGACAATCAGCTGGCTGGTTGAGGAAGTTAAATCTAGATATTATAAGTAAGTACAAACTTTTTTAATAGTCACCTATTGATTTTAAGATCTTATCTAAGTACTTATTACCTAATCCCAATGATGTATATTGTAGCAAAAAAAGAAAAAAAGGCCTTCTCAAAATCTTCTAGTATTTTTTTATCTTTTGTCCAAATTCGCTTTTTTATTTGAAGTTATATATATTTAGTTTTTTTTTAAAGTTAGCTTTTTTTGGTTTACAAAGTCATGTTGTAAGTATAACATGTTTTAACTTTGGATTCAAAATCAGACTGGCGCTATATCTGGGGTCTAGGTATGCTTTATATTTTTTTATCGGGCAGTACAACTTCGGGTTCGCTAATATAAATCTATAAAAATGAGTGGGTGAATTTTGAATCTTCGACCAGATTGACAGGCGTGAGACCGGTGTTCAGTCTGATGACGTCGGATGGCGCCATCTTGTCCGAAGACGATCCTTTGAGCCTGGTGCTATCGTCGCCGGAACTGAAGACTTGTATCACCAACTGGAAGGCGTCGCCCGCGGAGGAACGATACTTGGAGTGCTGCGAGGCTTTGGGGATATGTGAGTCTTAACATTTTGAATCATCCATCACCCAGATTAGCAGGCATGAGACCGGTGTTCAGTCTGATGACGTCAGAAGGCGCCATCTTGTTTGAAGACGATCCTTTGAGCCTGGTGCTGTTGTCGCCCGAACTGAAGACTTGCATCATCAACCGGAAGGCGTCGCCCGCGGAGGAACGATACTTGGAGTGCTGCGAGGCTTTGGGGATATGTGAGTCTTATCATTTTGAATCATCCATCACCCAGATTAACAGGCGTGAGACCGGTGTTCAGTCTGATGACGTCAGACGGCGCCATCTTGTTTGAAGATGATCCTTTGAGCCTGGTGCTGTCGTCGCCGGAACTGAAGGCTTGCACTATACCTACTTACAACTGGTAGGCGACGCCTGCGGAGGAAAGCTACTTGGAGTGCTGCGAGCCTTTGGGGATATGTAAGTTAAATTTGGCATCATCATCCATCATCCAACGATATTAAATACCCAAGATACACCAACACGAACAAAATCATGAACGAAACCTGTCCAAAACCTACATTGGACGATCCACGGAGCTCCGTCAGATGACCGCGTAGTCTAAACAACAAAGGCATTATTTAAACATTGAAAATCACCTTTAAAGCACACTATATAAGGTCTTAATTAAAACGCATGCGTCAAAGAGTTACGACAGTCCGAAACATAAGCTCGTAAAATTTTACGCTTATTGCTGTATGCCGAAGAATATAGACCTTATTTCTTTGATTCTACGCGCAATTTTGAATGCGCTGTTAGCAATATAGCAGGTATCGCAAGAAAAAGAGATGGCTATATTACCGACCATGCATTCGAATATCACAAATATTTTCTATTATATCAGTTTATAGTAAGTATTAAAAGAAAATTTGCTTCAAATTAACAAACATTAATTTTTTGATTGATTTACATAATATAAGTATTTATTCGCATTTTTTCACGGAGCTCAGCGGCATGTTGACTTTTGCAACGGTCCGCACGTGACTGTGAACCTAGAAGTGCTTGTGTCGTATTCATTCTCTTCTTGAAAGGGACAGTTTAGAGCGCACGTGGTGTATCTAGGGTATTTAATATAGTTGTCATCATCACTCTTAAATTTATCGAAATTAATTAGCTTTCCAGACATGTCGTTACTAGTCCATATTTAATAATAATTTCTGTCATTGATACTGTAAACAATGACAGAAATTATTATTAAATATGGACACAGGTTTAAACAAATACTAAAGTGAAAAAACCCTTGAAATCGTAGTCTGTGCTGAAAACGCTTTTTCCCGATCAGGTTTATTTCCCTACTGCTGAGGAACAGCACCTATAGATGGAATAGGGGAGACCGAGCCTACGATCGCGTCCACAATATTCGTGGGTACTAACGACTGCAGAAAGTGTTGTAGTAAAGGATCATTATAATTTATTTTACTCTTTATTGTTCCAGCAACATCGGAGGAGATACAACAAGCAGTTGGCAGAAGTCATACCACGCATCGACTAGCTCTGGGGTCAAGAACATTATCTTCTTCCCAAATTAGACCTTTATTCAGAGCAATGACTCACCAAACTCATATAACAGCCGTCATGGTATCAGACAACAACATAGGGGACGACGGAGTCAAATACTTAGCCGAATGCTTATGCACAATGAAACAACTCACTCATTTAGACATTAGCAAAAACAATATTACCGCAGAAGGGACAAAGTTACTTTTGAACATCTTCGAGAAAGCCATGAGGCCAGTATGTCAAGTGCTAGAAGATTTGGACATAAGTGCTAATCCTATAGCCGATGACGGTTTCAGAAATGTAGCAAAATTGTGTCAGTATGTGAGATTGAAGGTACTAAAGTTGAGTGATTGTAGAATAACTGAGAATGCCTTGAGTGATACTGTGAAATTGAATTTGAATTTTGATAGCGTAGAATCTATAGATGTGAGCCATAATTTAGTGAAGCAAGTGTTTGTTGCTTGTTTGATGACGTCACTGAACCCTAATATTTTGACGGAGTTGGATCTGGATGACATTGGAGTGGAGGGAAATGCGGTTGGGTGCATCGCTTCCTTCATGGACTCTGCGAAAGAATTAAAGATAAGAAGATTCGGTTTGTCCAATTGTAAATTGGTGGACGGGCAGTTTATGAGGATATTCAGGTTTGTTTATTATGCTTCCTTATATGGCAGTGAAAACCAAAGTATTCGGTTTCCTGAATTATAAAGTAAAATCTAGATAAAGTATCCTTAAAGTCTAGTAAGATAACATTCATTTACTCCTCATATTCAAGATGCTCCGAACAAACTAGCTTTTAAACGCTCCATATGTCATCATTTATTAGATTCCTCCTCTGCATCCTCCTGATATGATATAGATTTGTATACCTATATATGTAAATATTTATTATTATTTATGTATTTATATAGATATGTATTTTATGTAGTGTACATATATATATATTATTTGTTTCTATAGATACATATACTTTAATTATAATAAATAATTTTATAAATTCTTTCTGCACTACCTTCTTAAGATCTTTGCTATAATTCTCTGGTTGACTGGTAAAGAATGCCTAAAGGCATTAAGTCCGCCATTTGTACACTCATTTGTGCAATAAAGTATAAATAACTAAATACATTTATATGGTAATTATGTATTCTCAGGTGTATCGGCCGAGCGAAGTACTTGCAGTCCATAACTCTGAAACAGAACATGCTCACATTTATATCGCTGAAGAAACTTTTGCAACGGCAACCTCCCGTACCCCAGATCAACCTCGAGGGTTGCCAGGACATATTCAAATACTCCCCGGACTCTGATTTCCATGTTTGGCTTCCCGCTATAAACTTTGGCAGGTGTATACCGGAGATAAATGTCACACCAGTTTTCAGAACAGATGCGGAAAGGGAAAGCTTCAAAACTTTTTCAAAAACTTGGCTGAATTGCTTTAATGGCAGAGGCATGATAGAACATTGTGACGGTGGCGTCATTAAATTCACTGCGAGATAATGTTTATAGTGTCTTAGCACGAAACGTGGGCTAAAGTTACACTTGGTTTAAAGCTAATACTGTGTCTGTCTTACTTTTAGCAAACAAAGGTGATTGATCAATTTATAGACCGGTCTTAAATTTAGTCAACCTTTTGTCTTGTTTATACTAAGAGAAATCTTTTTATTTAAATGTTAATTTAAGATCAGTAATTATTTTGATAAAAATACTATTGTGATAAGTAAGACCACATCGATTATGAACTCTAATAAATTGTTATTAATGTGGAATTTGTATTACAAGCAGAGTACTTATTCACTATTATAATGCGGATTGTTAAAATGATTTTTAATACTTTCCAATATAGAAACGAATCTAAAATGGCAACACAAGATATTCTGTCCCTCTCGCATATTATTCTGTAAGGGCGAGCGAAAGGAAAACAAATATGACGGCTCTATTTTGGGTTCATTTCTTTATTAGGGCCAATTATCAATTTTATAACAATGCCATAGTTTAATATAAATACACTCCCATTTATGTGTAAAGATTTCAAGCAGTCTTAATCTTGAAAAAAAAACTTTTGTTTCCAAGTGTTTTAAATGTCCTTTTTTATTTATAAATACACAATTGTACATAATACAGGAACTTTTGTAAAATATTTGTTTTTTTTAAGATTTTCATACTAGACTTGATGTGTTTAGTACTTTGATTAAAACAAAAACGGAAGATACGGCACTCGCTTTAAATGTGGTGCAGGACCATAATTCGCTTTAGTCGCAATTGGACATTCAAACACGCTGCATGTGCACTCAATATAACAATTTTGCGTATATTCTGTTTTATGAAGATAAAACAATGCCTTATAGACATAATAATATATAGACAGTTTATACGCCAACATTATCGTATTTTAAAATGGTACAAGTCCCCGCCCCAAGCACCCTTTCACTAAAGTCTCTCATCTCGCTCTTTATCTCGTGTCAACTGTGTCAGCAACAGCCAAAATAAGTATACAGTAAATATTTTTACATTAATTTCTTTAAAACTGTCCTTACTTATAAAATTAAACATTTTTATTTTCTTTATTAGTTTCCGTGTAATTTGAATACTATCAAAAACACACACATAGGGTATTTCGTCTAGAAAAAACGTAAGTATAAACACGATGTAGCGAAGTGAAGCCGCGGCGCGAGGGCGTGCCCGACTGAATGCAAGTCGGGCAATTACCCGACTTTCGTATTGCAAACTAGAAGCGTGTATGACGTATCTATAACTATAAAACCTCAGCTCGCAACTCCTAACCGAATACAGCCAAGCGTTCGAACGCTCGAAAGCTATATTCGGTAATCTTCGTTCGCCATCGTCGCGCGCGGTTATTTGACAATTTCACCGTGCATTTTGCCAGTGTCGTAGACACTGGCAAAGTGCACCGGTGCCGCGGTGGCCCGGTTTATTTAAAAGTTAGAGCATAAGGCCCCATTTACACTTTCATTAGTAATTAGGCGAGATCATACATGTTCTGCGAGATTTCCAGGGGGGGAAGGCAGATGCCCGGCCCTGAGTACGGCCATGGAAATAAATATTTTATTCCATATTGTATTCTATCTACGCCCTATCCATCTTGCTGGGTTTAGCTTAAGGTACATTGCTATACAAGTAAAAGAGATAGAGATACAAGATCTCTTTTACGTGTATAACGCTGTCCCGCACATAGAGGTATAAGAATAGAGTAGGGGGGATATACACTCTACAGAGAGAGATAGCTAGCCGTGTCTCATCTTCTTTCTCTTTCTACTAGACGGACACCTTTAGAAGCCAGTTTGTTCTTACGCCCGGTATGGTAGATGCCCCGGACGCGGTATTGATATTGTTCGCACTTCGCACTGCATTTGCATGACTTTTTATAAAATTTGATAACAGCCTCTCCTTTTCACTCTATAAGAAGTCTGAAAAGAGCTGCTGTCAATATAACAAATAGCAAAAACGTACAGCACACTCGGAGGAACAGCCTTGTGCAGTGTTATATAGGTAGCTTTCCAATTACAGCATTATGCGGCATAATGCTTAACGTTGAGTGTTCCAACTACAGCAACGTTTCGCACAATTGAGCACTCTCAAAAGTAATGCTTTCGTGTGATGCGTGCAATCGTACCAACTCAGAGACAGAAAAACAAGTGTTTTTTCTTTAAGTTGGCATTGATTGAAATGTTTTATTTATATGTTTTCGTTAATAATATTATTTATTGTTGAAAAATTATTAAAACTTTCGTTTCATCATAGTTTTTTTAAATAATCAAAGTTAATTCAAACTGTGTTAAAATTAAATATAAATATGGATGAAGGTACAAACATTGACTTTTTTTTCAACACTGAACTTAGCGCACTCTGCTGGTGCATTTGAAAACAAATTCACGTTCCAATTAAGCATCAACATAATTCGGCATTGTGCGCCACTGAGTCGCATTATGCTCTGTAACTGGAAAACCACCACTATTTCTATGGCTAGCATAAACTTTTACTCTTTGCTCACAATTAGACATCGCTAGTAATTATCGCTCGCAATTATCTGTGGTTGCTGCGTTCCAAAACTGTAACAAATGTCAAATTTGACATAACGAAATTTCATACATTAAAAAGCAAAACGCCATCAGTTGTGTTTTTGACATAACTTGGTTATGTGTGGTATTTTTGCATACTTAACCTAAAAATTACCATTCGTGTAATTTTTAATTTCTTTATAGGTTCAATAGGGTCTGAATAAAATATCAATAAAAATTTTGCAAAATGGCAGAACAAGTAAATCAGCGTATTGAGGATATGATAAATGAGTTGGAGCAGATGCGTAGGACAAACTTATTTGATGATGAAGAAATAAGGTGTAGTATTCATTTAGTGTTTCCCACTGTATGGAAAGTATGTTGTGTTTGTTTAACACTAGCTGTTAAAGGAGGACATAATCCTGGTGTCAATATAACTGACAATATCAGTGACCCATTGAACGTTAGTTAGAACAACACTGCAATGATACTTATTAACTGCTGTTTTTCAGAGAATTATCACGAAAACGGAAAGAGTTCGAGTATAGAATACAGAGAAGAGTAAAACAGAAAGAAGATTTTGTGCACTACATAGCATTTGAATTAGCTCTGCTCCAAGATATATCACTCAGAAGGAAGCAAGCAAAACTGGGTGAAAAGAAAAAAGACATTGAATATGCAATAGCCAAACGTCTAAACAAAGTTTTCAAACAATTTATATATCGATTTCAAAATGAAGTTGAAATATATTTTGAATATATAATATTCTGCCAAACTGTTGGTTTTAATTCTGCAGTTTCTGGAATTATAGGGCAAATGTTACAGGTACATTTAAATTCAATTAGGACCGAACTTATAGCATCAGTCAGTATTTTAAAATATTTTGTTTTGATATTTCAGATACATGGTGACAAGCCTAAGATGTGGTTGATGGCAAGTAAATGGGAGAAACAAGAACAACAAAACCTGGAAAGTGCTAGAAGTTTTCTATTAAAAGGAATTCATCGCCATCCCGAATCTGATATTCTATATTTAGAATTATTTCAAATTGAACTAATTTTATGTGCCTCTTTTGAAAAGGAGGAAGAGAAGGTCAGAAATAATAATATGTTTAATTAATAAAACATTACTTGTTACAATTTTGTAAAATAAAATAAACTTATTTGTTTCTTAGGTTTTCACGCACATCACTCATTAAATAAAACTAGTTTTTTTTACGGGTTAATGCACGCAGAATAATTATTCTGATGATGCAGACCTGAAAAGGCTGCAAAACGTCAATAAATAAATAAAGTTTCGTGCATTAACCCGTAAAAAAAACTAGTTTTATAAAATAAACTTGATTGCAGGAAAAGCAAATTAAGAGGGCTGATGTTGTGTGGAAAAATGGATTGAAGAGTTTAAATAATCTGAAATTTTTATTTAACTTATATGACACATGCATAAGATTTGAAGCTGATAAGTCCATAACAGAGTGTATTAAGCAGGAAATTTGGTCAAGAACTAGCAACAAAGAAGTATGGTCGTATATAGCTTCTAAAGAATTGGAAGTAAGTTAAAATATATTTGGTAATTACTTTATACTGCTTATCATAAACTTAACTTTTTATGGATAAATGTTGGATAAAACCTGTATGATTAATTAATTTGTAGCCTAATTTGCTGACATATTATTTTTATATGTTCAAGGCACAATGTAAAAATCTGAATTATTTGTCTTGTCTGCATTTGTGTATGTCAATAGAGGCCCTTTTGCACCAAAGCACATGCATTAGTACCTTAAATTCTTGTTGATATAAAAAACAAGTGAAAGAGTAGAATTTAAAGATTAGGGTTATGTCATATAATTTTTATTTATTTTTTAGGGCTATCACTGGAAGGAGATTGAAGAGTTTGTTACCTGTGAAAAAAAATATTCAAAAGAATTGCAATATTATATAGGAGTTTATCAAGAAGCACTTCAAAAGGTATTATTCTTCAAAGGTTATACTTGTACTTATATCAATAAATAAATTATAAACTGAAAACTGTATTTATGCAAATTGATTTAAATTTTCTTATAATTGTTAGATACCAGAAAAGGATAATGAACTTTTTGTGCTAAGATCATTATGTAAAAGTTTATTTTTTTCTTTATTAAGAATGAATGCTATAATTCTACCTAGATAATGTGCACAAGTGTGTATCCTTGTCATGTCTATACAGAATAAATAAAAAAGAGACATTGTTGTCAAATTTAATTTTAAGTTTAGAGAATCACCCTAGAATCTAGCCCACTGCTGGATTTAAATTAGTAATCTTTTAGTTCCCAGATGAAAAGTTGTGTACTCAATATATACATGGGTTATTAGGTGCCAATGAAACAGCTTGCACAGATTTACAAAAAATTTCTGCTGTTAAAGAGGCCTGGTATTATGGACATGATAATGGTATATTAAGTACTGAAATTTTTGCATTTGGTATTGAAATATTGAAGATGGAAAATGAAATATCGGATGAGAAGCTCAGTGAGGTATGTTGCTAAATTTAACTTACAGTAGCTCTCAGAGTCATCAATTATAAACATCCTAAATTCACATAGTTATTGCATAGAAAATGAAAGTAACAATTAAATTAAAATTTAAATATAATTGATTGACAAGTGCATCTATGTGACAGTAATATTCCTGAATGAAAATATTGTTCTTTTCTATTGCAGCTCTTAGACAATGTATCAATGAATATATATCATGATAAGTTTATTTGGGAAGAAAAACTCAAGTTGTGTAAATCAGATGAAAAGAAAATGCTCTCTGTGCTTCAAGATGCTACAAAGGTCTTAAAATCAGAAGCAGCTCTATCGCTATGGAATTCAATGATAGATAATATAGAATCCAAAGATTCTGTAAGTTTTAATTTCATTGACTTTGTTTTAAAGAAATTTAAAGTTGAATCAAGTTTAAGTGTCCTTAGTTACCACCATTATTTTTTCAGTTGAAAAATTTATACAGAAGATTCCAGAATTGTGAAAGTGCAGTGCTACTTGCTTTGAAACCAAAATTACTTCATAAGATGTATGAGTACAGTGGCTTAAAGGCAGCGAGAGACATGTATGAGGAACTAATAAAAGCACCACCCACACAGATAGAGACTCACACAGTTATGATAGACATAGAAAAAGCTCAAGATAAGAAGAATATTAAAATTATCAGAAAATATTATGAGTGCTTAGTGCAACATCATGGAAAGGAAAGTATAGAAGTATGGATGGATTACATAAAGTTTGAATCAGAACTAGGGAATGCCCAATTTGCACCAAATATTTACAGAAGAGCAATTGGAGCCTTAAAAAAGGAATTAGTAGATGAATTCATAAAAGCTCAAACTTTATCAAAAATAAAATAAATATTTATTACACTGCAGTGTTTTGTTTTAAAAATGATAATACCTTTGACAAATGAATTTTATTTATTTAAATATAACCACACCATGGTTCAACAACCTAGCAAAATGAATGTCCACATGGTACACCATTTATGCTAAAAATTATTTACACTTTCATTTTACACAATATTTTAAACTCACTACAAGAGTTTGAATCTACTTTGGTGATTGTGGAATAACACTTAGCAAATAAACAAATAGGTAAATGCAATTTATAATGTAATAAGGTGTTTACTGCAATGCTCCAATAGGAGCAATGTAATACCTAAAGATAAGGGAGGAACCACGTTTGTGTTGCTTATTTCTGAGCAATTCTCTCCAGCAAGTTTGCCATGATGGATAGGTTGGCATCAAAGGTGGGTTGCCAGCTTTTAAGCTGCATCCTGCTACAGCCATGCAGGTAGACACCACTACTAATGGATAAGTAATAGTACTGGTCACAAATGTTAGTAATGGGACTGTATAATATCTCAAGTCTTTGGTCTTGACAAAATATTTGTTTACGTAGTATGCTAACACACCAGTCACAGCTATACATGTCAAATCTCCAAGTATCTTTGGAATAATTCCATGAAAGAATCCGCGTATACCATCGTCTCTGTAGATGGTTACAATGGCACCAATAAGGGAGCTATAATCCTCTTCTTTCCCAATAAATGAGGCCATCATTCGAACAGACACAACATGGAATGGATAAGATACAATCACAGAAGCTGTTTGCATTATCATGTCTCGTCGCCCGAGTTTGATGTAATCTTCAGCTCTAGGTTCTTCATCTGTCACGATATTGGGTGGGTCATTGATTTCAGGAAGGTCGATGCCACACGCATTGATTACTTTGGATGTGAGTTGACTGGATGCAATTAATCCAAGAACTCTGGCAGAGAGGCCTCTGTAACAGCCAAAGAATCCGTCTTGGGTTTTGATATACTTGATGTATTGGAAAACGTTAGGTAATATCATGGCAGGGCGTCCAAACAGTGTCGTCGATCGGCGCGGTGCCAGTGGTTCGTAACCAAGTTGAATTAGTACTTTCGCATATTCCATAGGATGGCATATTGTCGTGACGAGCAATTGGGAGGGGAGGGCAGCTATTTTCTCTTTTTCTATTTCGTCCATTATCTGATAATTTCACGACCTTCTGAAATCAAAAATGACTGTCCATCGACAAAAATTTGTTGCGCAGATTTGTTGTCAAATGTCATTTTTTATTTATATTTCTCCTTTCTTGGAAGGCAAAGAATACTGCGTCGACAAAGACAACGAGTGTGACGGACGAGGAATTCCATTGATTTTCACGAAGTATTTAGCAGAGATTTGAACATGAAATGTATCGAGTCAGCTTCAACGATAAGCTTCTGAGGGGTACACATCATAGACATAAGTGCACACCAGGGTAGTTTTCCAATTACGCACGCGCAGTGGCGCACAATGCCGAATTATGCTGATGTTTAATTGGAACGTGAATTAGTTTTCAAATGCACCAGCGTAGTGCGCTAAGTTCAGTGTTGAAAAAAAAATCATAGAGTTAGAAATAACCTCATTAAGTGTAAATAAAGTGGTATACACAATAATTGAATACAGTTTGAATTAACTTTGATTATTTTAAAAAAACTACAATGAAACGAAAGCTTTAAAAATTTTTCAATAATAAATAATATTACTAACGATAATATATAAAGAAAACATTTCGATCAATGCCAACTTAAAGAAAAAACACTTGTTAATTTTCTGTCACTGAGTTGGTATCGATTGCACGCATCACACGAAAACATTACTTTTGAGAGTGCTCGATTGTGCGAAGCGTTGCTGTAGTTGAAACATTCATCAACGTTAAGCATTATGCTGCATAATGCGCTCTAGTGCTGTAATTGGAAAACTACCCAAGTGTACAGTAAGGGTATGCGCGCACTACGAATATTTCTACGAATTATTCTTTGCGACTTTTGAAATGCGATAATAAAATCGAAAATGACAATAATTCCTACTTGATTTACTTGCGATGCGAAATAGCATTGATTGACCAGCGCGCTTGCGATTTTTTCTGCAATGCGCGAACCTAGTACTAAACATAAGTACGATTTCGCATCTGCTTTTTTAAATCACCATCATCATCAGCCGATGGACGTCACTGCTGGACATAAGCCTCCTCAAGGGATTTCTATATAAAACGATCCTGCGCTCTCCGCATCCAGTGGGTCCCCCCGACTCACTTAATATCGTCAGTCCACCTCGTGAGGGGTCTACCGACATTGCGCTTCCCTGTGCGAGGTCGCCACTGCAGCAACTTGGGACCCTAAAGTTCATCGGTTTGCCGAACTATGTGTCCCGCCCATTGCCACTTCAGCTTGGCGATCCGTTGAGCTATGTCGGTTGCTCTAGTTCTTCTACGGATTTCCTCATTTCTGATTCGATCACGTAGAGAAACACCGAGCATAGCTCTCTCCATCGCTCACTGTGCGACTCGGAGTTTTCTTTTGAGGCCCGTAGTCAACGACCACGTCTCAGCTCCGTATGTCATTACTGGCAATGCCCACTGTTCAAAGAGCTTGGTCTTCAGGCACTGAGATATTACGGACGAGAAGACATCGCGCAGTTTCCCAAACGTTGCCCAGCCGAGTTGGATTCGGCTGTTTACCTCGATCTTAAAATTGGACTTTTTGGATTATTTGGACCCAACTGGATTATTTGTCCCAGATATGTATTTGTCGACAATTTCAAGTGCAGAGTTCTCAACTATTACCAAGTGGATCGGAACACGAGTATTAGACATAATTTTTGTCTTACTCATATTTATTTTAAGGCCCACTTGTTGAGAGGCTCTGCTTATGTTGTTGAGCATTATACTGAGATCCTCCAAAGTGTCTGCTATAACGACTACGAGGACGATATCATTGGCAAATCGAAGGTAAGTGTACTCGCCGTTGACGTTGATGCCAAATCCGCTCCAATCCAGAAGCTTAAAGACGTATTCTAACGCAGCGGTAAAAAGTTTCGGGGAGATCACATCTCCCTGCAGTTGGATAGGTCTCTTAGTCTGGTCTTGTATGCGGACTGTCATGGTGGCGTTTTCGTACAAACTCTTCAGCACTTGGATATAGCGATAGTCGATACGGCATCTTTGTAAGGATCTCAATACAGGCCATGTTTTTACCGAATCAAAGGCCTTTTCATAGTCCACAAACGCTAAGCATATTGACAGGTTATATTCTTCAGTTCTTTTGTATAACCTGGCGCAGCATGTGGATGTGGTCCATGATGCTAAAGCATTTCCGGAATCTAGTTTGTTCGGCAGGCTGGAGGTCATCTAAACTATTAGCGAGACGATTCGAAATCACTATCGAAAACATCTTGTAGACGAGGCTCAGCAGCAAGATGGGTCTGTAATTCTTCAAAAGGGTGGCGTTTTGTATTTCTGCAGGTCTAGCTGATTGTTGTATCGTCATCTTTGCCGATTTCCTTCATACAAAAGCTGTAGCTAACTAATTTTGAATATTAACTATGTATGTGATGTTTTACAATATTTATTTATTTTGATAACGTCTATTATATATGCAGCTGTTAATAGTTTATTTCTTGGGCATAATTGTTTGATAGCTTCGATCGATAGAAATTAAGCATTTTCTTGTACAATTACGGAAGTGCTTTCGTAGCAAGACAAGCATAAAAGCATGCGTGCTTTAAATTATCTAACCTTTAAAAATGTAGTTTGTTTAAAATTCCTTAGATGTAACGTGCGATCGCAAGTACATTTATGAAACTTGGTGTCTAAGTAATAAAGCTTATTTTTATTTGCAAAAACATAACTTAAACTAAACAGTACATTAACGTTTCATGTAAAGTGATTAGTTTAATAATGTATTTAAACATAACGCACATTCTATCAAGCATTCAATGTAAGTATGAAACAGTGGCGTAGCTACCGCCATATCTGCCGTATCATTTATACGGGGCTCCCGGGCCACGCCCCCCCCCCCTAACGGGCATATTCAAAAATTAATAAAAACTTCCCAATAGTTTTTCAGAAATGATAAAAGTAAAAAAAAGCAATTTCTTTTTTTCCCACGTAAAGCGTGCGTTGGCAACACCCTACATCAGTTATCGCGGGCTGCGGGATTTCGTTCAAGTAAATGACTTAAACGGGGGAATCCCACAATAATCGATGTACATGCGATAGGCCGTATACAGAAAGAAAGCCGAAAGTCGATCGGCGCTTATCGGCGCCTATCGGCGCCGATCCTTCCTACATAAAGGAAGCCGATTAAAGCAGATCAAGCAAAATGTCAGACTCATCGGACGATGATTTGGTTTTGTTAGAAAATGTTTATTTAAAAATGCGAAAAACAGCTATACATCCTATAAATAGAGAAAGGAAACGTTTCGGAGAATACCATAATTTATTTGTAAAAAAAAATAAATTTGATGAACAATGATTTTATACATATACAAGAATGATTCAAGAAACATTTTATAACATTTTGGATTTAGTGAAAAACCGTTTGATGAAAAATTGGGGCAATTGGCATAAACAACCAATCCTTCCAGAAGAAAGACTTGTTGTCACCATTCGATAAGTACGAAACAAATAATTTTTGCGCTTAGTTAATAAAAGATAAGTTATTAGATTTATAAAAAGATTATAACTTAGATTGATTTAATCTAAGGAAAATAATTCAAATACAAATTATTTATTATTCGGACCAGCGCGAGTCGGCGCCGTTCGGCGCCGGTCCATAGAAAAAGGATCAGCGCCTATAGGCGCCGATAAGCGCCGATCGGCGCCGATCGGCGCCGATCGGCTTTCGGCTTTCTTTCTGTATACGGCCATACGATGATAAACCACGGAGTCACTATTGTCCGTAGAGGTAGAAACTTTAGATAAACTAAAGTCATCATCAGCTATAAATGATTTAAGAAATCAGTTTGCCGAAAAAAATAGAGGAGACTGTACATTTAATTTGAATTGTTTGTAAAAATTTTGGAAAATGTGACTGATAGATAATGATGATGAATAAATATTTCTTTTAATTTTATGCATTTTTTTTTCTTTTTTGAGAAATCTTTACCCTTCCTAACAGGGCCGGATCTACCAAATGGCTTTTTGGGCTTCAGCCCAGGGCCCAGTGGATTCAAGGGAAAAAGGCAAGTCAAGGCAAAGCCAAAAATAGACGATAATGCGAAAGAATCCATACTTCTATTAAAGTAAACAGACCGGAAATTCAGACAGGAAAATATCGCTTAATTTAAATAAGAAATAGCAGATATAATATTTTCAAAATAGATGTCTAAAGTGTGACTCGTTGGGAACAAACGAAGCTGAACTAGTGATTCACCAAAGAAAGAAAATTAAAATTATTTTCTTTAAAGCAGTAGATTTAATGATTAGAGGTACATTCAATGTAGAAAAAATACATTTTGTATTTTGTATAGGTTTCAATCCCCAGACTGTAAGTAAAAGTAGTAAAATTTTTACGTGCCTGTGCCTAGGGACACAATATCGAATAGAAAGTATCGATACTGTACTCATGAGTAGTATCGGAAAAAAAGTATCGTACTCGTAAAAGTATTGAAACAAAAGTATCGATACTTCGAAGTATCGAGGTCATTTCACGATTTAAACGCAGGAAAAATAGAAAAATATGAATTATTTATTAGATTATATTATTTTTTTTGCTCTGGCAATACTGAAGTGTTCTGTTTTTTTTTCACTGCATTTTTTTACTTTATTCACGATAAATTACATAAAAAGATAATGGTGTCGATTCTGGCGTGATTCTCTAAACTTAAATCAAAATATAATACATGTTGAGTTGATAGATCTGAGTAACCGTTAACTGCTTGAACTTTAAATGTAATTTAAAATGACACCTACTACTTTGGTATTTTAAGTAGGTTTGTTTTTATGAAGTAGGGTTTGTAATAAATTAAACAATGGTCGTAAAAAACACGTATAATAAACTCATAAACTCTACCTAAGCGGTTAAAGTTAACAATTCGTTAGACCCGTCTTCATCTATCTTGTAAGGTAGAGGCGTTGTTAATGTAGGCGGACCTCTATTGAACTCTTTGAAGGTCTTGAGTGGGTTCTGAAAAAAGAAAGAACACAGAAATCAGAAAGAAAGAAAATCTCAATTCCATTGTCGAGCTTTACTAGGAAGGACTATTTGATTTCAAAGTACCTAATTAGGATTCAAATATATTTATTTGCGTTCAAAGTATCAAAAATATGGATGGATGTTATGTGGCAATCACTTTTAAAGATAACGTAAACTCGATTATTTCTAGCTTTATCCTCTGCTGTTAAGAATTACCGTTTTGTATGTTTCTGATTCAGTTTCGTCATGTAATTTTTTATCCTCATTCTCGTTTTCATCGTCACTTTCATAATTTTCGTTGTCCTCTTCAATACCATTTTTATGATTGCTTTCTTTTTGGTTACTTTCCTCTTCAATCTCTAACGTTTCATCTTTTTCTTCTAAAGGCTCCCAAGCGATATCTTTGTCTATAACATCTAAATAATCAGAAGCCATTAGTTAAAAGAATTATCATAAAGCTACTTTTTAATTGGAGACAATCAATCGACTTTAACTGACGACGTTAATTTGATTTCACCATTTCGGTTTAAATACTTCCCCATCAATCTAACAACTTTATTTATACTAATATACTACTATAGTACTAATATACTACAATAATAGTACCATTTATGTTATTCATTTGATAGTTTTGGTGCTGCGAAAAATATTCCAAATACACCATATTTCTTTTACCTCGGAACCTAAGCGATCCTCTTCTAATAGCTGGTTTTTCTTCGTTGGGTACCTCAACTATCACTGTGGGTATTTCCTCTATGGTGATTCCGTTAGTTTTCTTTTCACCGTTTTTATTAGCTTCTCCTTCTTCTTTAATCTGCAATGACATCCATACTTCCATACTAATATTATTAATTTGGATTTAAGTGTGTCTGTCTGTCTTTCTGTCTGTGTTACGTGTTCACGCTTAAGCCACTGAGCTGATTTAGATGAACTTTTGTGTATAGATAGTTTAAGTCCCGCGAAGGGACATGGAATAGTGCCTGCCTGCGTTCATTATTTGTGTCTGATCAATGTTTATAATCTGAATACTTCGTTTATTACATCTAGAGTAAATCTGAAGCGTTCGGTAATTCCGCCCAGATCAGTCCGATGTAAATATGTTTGCTCGGAGTAATTTGATTGAACGAGAAAGATTAATCTGATTATCTATCATGTTGTGAGGTAAGTTATGGGTGAGTTTCCGTTTGAGGTTAGAAATTAATAATAATAATATTCTTTATTGTAATACACCATACAAGAAAACACAAGTAAATTAAAAAACAAGATAGGTAGAACGTACACAATATAGGCGGCCTTATTGCTAGGCAGCAATCTCTTCCAGGCAACCCATAATAGATAGATAAATAAATGTGAAGGAGAAAAGGAGGGGTGTTATAGAAAGTAATAATAATATCAATGGCAGGAAAACAGATATATCTAAGGAAGGAAAGAGAGAGGATGAAGGAATTTTTTTACATCACTGTTGGGTTAAGAAATAACTCCGAACTTGATCCCTGAAGGAGTTCAGAGTGCGAGCCCTTCGAATAGTTTCTGGCAAAGAGTTCCATAGACGTACAGCATGCACAGAGAAGGAATAGGAAAAGAAATCAGTAGAATGACTTGGAATTTCAAGAGATAGGTTAGAAGAAGATCGCAAAGTGCGCTGTGAAGTAGAAGAGAGAAACGAGAAGCGTTCTTTTAGGTAATGAGGAGAAGTGGGTAAGAAAAGTACGGAGTAAAGGAGCGTAAGAGTGTGTAAGTCCCTGCGCCGGCGAATAGGGAGCCAGTTAAGTTTAGAACGGAAGTATGAGATGTGGTCATATTTACGAAGGTTGAAAATAAATCGGATGCATAAGTTCTGCAGACGCTCTAGCTTATTTAAGAGTTCTTCAGTGAGATCTGTATAACAGGCATCAGCGTAGTCAATGATAGTCAGTAAAAGAGTCTGCGCCAGAGTGATTTTGGTGGTGGTCGGCAAAAAGTTACGTAATCGGTTGAGCGAGTTGTATGCAGCAAAAATTTTCTTTCTGATCGCCTCCACCTGAGGTCTCCAGGAAAAACATTGATCAAAGACAACACTAAGATTTTTGACAGTGCTTGACCATGGAATAATAGTGCCATCAAAAGTAATAGGAGATAGATGTTCAAAATCAATCCTGGAAACAAAGTAAGAGCTGCCAATTATTATAGTTTGTGTCTTAGCGGGGTTCACAGTAAGACCGAAAGACTTACTCCAACTACTAATTAAGGCGAGATCAGAATTGGTAGTATTTATTGCACCTGAAAGGTCAGATAGTGGTGCCTGTGTGTAAATCTGGAGGTCATCGGCATAAAGGTGATAGGAACTGAAAAGTGACTGTGTGATAGAATTTATAAAAATTGAGAAGAGAAGAGGAGATAAGACGCCACCCTGAGGAACACCGGCATTGGTGGCGCACCACGTAGAGAAGTTATCTTCAATACGTATACGCTGTCGGCGTCCAAGCAGGTAACTTTGAAACCAGTCAATTGCTGCTGGAGATATATTAAGAGAACGCAGGATGGCAATAAGTATGTCGAAGTCAACCGAATTGAAGGCGTTACTGAAGTCGAGCAATGTCATCAAAGTCAGATGTCGATTCTCCATACCACGTCGGATATCATCTGAAATCTTAACCAATGCAGTAGTCGTGCTATGGCCCGTACGAAAACCAGATTGAAATGGATTTAAGAGCTGGTTTTTGTTAAGAAAAGCTGCAAGCTGTTGATAAACGAGTTTTTCCAGAACTTTGGAGAGAAAGGGAAGAATGGAGATAGGACGATATTCAGAAAAAGAGGTAGGATTCGATTTTTTTGGGATTGGGATAAGATATGCATCTTTCCAGGATGCTGGAAAAACACCGGTTGAAATTGAGGTATTCAGGATGTGAGTAATTACAGGAGTGAGGATGTCAAGGATGGGAAGGATCATTTTCCGGCTAATGGAGTCACTACCTACTGCACTGGAGTGAATCATTTGTATGGTTCTCTTAACATCACAGTCAGCAAATTGATGTAAGAAAAATGGAGAATGTTGAGTTGGCAAAGTTGAAAGACGTTGTAAGGTAGCAGCCTTACGGTAGCCGTCTAAAGGCACAGAAGCGGAAAAGTAACTATTAAGCTGATTAATATTTAGATTATCATTAGGAATACTGCTACGAGATTTGCCAACTCCGAGTGATTTTAGGAATTTCCAGACTTTTGGGGGGTCTTCATTTTTAATAGATTTATGAATATGGCGTCTTTGGGCGTCCCTAATCACAGTGTTGCAGCGATTTCTCACCAAATTATATTTGATCTCATTTCGCTTCGAAGGATTGACTTTGAACTTAGCCTTAGCGGCATTTTTCCTTGCCATCAGTTCCCGAATTTCATCATTCAACCATGGAGCCGGCAGATGTTTTATTTTAACAGAGCGAATAGGTGCATGCTTATCATACAACTCGGTAAGTAAGCAGTTAAGAAGTTCAATCTGCTTATCCACAGACTCGGATGCAAAAATTGCAGACCAGTCCAAGTTGGCAGCATCTTCCATCAGGTGTTCATGAAAATTACGCTGAAGCTGTACATTAGGCCTCACTTTTGGAGGACGAATACGGTACGATAGGTACACCAAGTCATGATAAGAAAAAGCGTCCGCAGAATATTGCCCATGTTTAGCGGCGAAGGTAGGGGAAGAGACGATTATCAGATCAAGCAGAGAAGGGGTACAGTTAGGAAAATAGTGAGTTTCTCTAGATGGAAGAATATGTAAATTGGAGGAATTAATCACTGAGAGTAATTTTTTGGATCGATAATCGTCTTTTATGAGACATGTGTTGAAATCTCCCATAATTATAGTATGGGAATAAGAGGGGACAAAATTTTCAAGAAGTTGTTCGAATGACTCGAAATAGTCGACTCGCAGCGAAGGGCTGTAGAAAACACCTAGAAGGATTTTACTATGAGACAAAGATATCTCAATTAAGAGATGCTCGGCATTGTTCGGGGGTGGCGGCTGTGAAGATCGACTAAGGATAGTAAAAGAGATATGAGAACGAAGATAAATGGCCACCCCTCCATGAGAGGAACTTACACGATCATTCCGAATAAGTTGAAATCCTGGTAGGGAATAGGTAGAAGACGAAAGACAGGGATGAAGAAAAGTTTCGGAAACTAAGATTGCGTGAATATTTTGGTTATCAAAAGAAGCAAGCATGTCCGGAAAGTGTGCCGGTATACTCTGTGCATTGATATGGATAACGTTAAAATTTTAATTAATTTAGTCAGGCCTTTCGGTAATAGCAATTTGCTCAGATTAATATGTGATCACGTGACCAAAAATCCGTCGCCTCTGCCGTCGTGTCCCTGAAATCATCCTTTGAGGGGGTGAAAAGAGTGGTGGAATTTTCTATGGGTAACAATTTTTTCTACGCAGGCGAAGTTGCGGGCTCCCCGCATGCACAAATAAGTAATATATATATTAAGTTCTGATATAAGTACTACATAATCAAAGTGGAGGACATAATCCGCACCTCATTGAAGACTATAGTAAATAATACGTAGTGTTACCTCCATTTGATGGTGTTGTGTTTCTGTTAGTGAGTAAGGTTTCAATGTTATACGGTGTAGAGGATTGTTTATAAATATCACTATGAAGTACCTGAAGGAATGCAACACTAGGTTCCTGCAGCTTGATCGCTTTTTCTTTATTTCTCATGATATTTTCGTCCGTTTCTTTTTCCAAACGCATTTTGTGAGTTTTATGCGTCCGCCACATCTGTAGACAGTTTAGATAGGGAATTTAAAACAGATGCACTGATAGCACTAAATTAACAGATCGTGCTTCATACACCATATTTTTTTAAGAATTCTATAACTTATTTTACACAATTTTCAGCAGCGAATATTCTATTGCGAATATTCAACATACAATGCTTAAGTAAGATCACTTCGTACTTTCTGAAACTAATACTATTTTAAAAGTGGATATAACCAATTTTGACGCTTTTGAATTTTGTTTACCAATTATGTGTGTGTTATTATGTGTGATGCTTACGTGATATCCACAATAACAGAGCCCTAGTAAGAATATAACTATTAGAGCAATGAAGAACTTGTCGGTGTTCTCTTCTTCTGTGTCAGGCTGTTGGTACAGCGAGTCATAAGGTATTCTGGATGGAGGATCTTCTACCCACGTCTTGTCGACGCTCTGTGAATGAAACGCATAATTTATTTCAGTTTAAGGCCCGTATTAATACGTGCGATTTTTAGACGCTGTTTTGTTTGAAAACAGTAACTTGAAATCGTAGTCACAGAGTTGAGAGCGATCTATTAATACGTGCCTAAGATTGAATGTTAAGATTAAAGATTTCAAACTATTTTAGTAGTGAATTATATTACATAGATCTACAATCACATCATCTATTAATATCCCCAGCAGCGCTTCATAGGATCGTCTTTGGCTTACAAAGACATTTCCTATGAATGACATAACTTGGTGAATGTACCTATCATGTCTACGGTGAACTTTTTTAGACATCGATTGGTCAATTAATTGGTCTGCTATAGGCATAGCAGGCAATTAGGACTTTTTCAGGTCTATTTCAAGAATCTGCCAGTGAGGTATCGGTTTTGCTAGATGGCATTTCTTAACTCAGTTCCCAACTTTGTAAATAAATGTACATTATCATTAAAAACTCTTCCTCAAAGTTTGGTTTGACTTTAGATATTACCTTCGTAATACAATGAAAAAGAAACTATTTTTTTTCAAGTGAGAAGCATAATTCAATTCTTCTGAATTTAATAGCCAGAAACTTGTCTTTCTATTACTTGCATCTGAATCTAATTCCCGAAAGGTAGTAATAGTGGAGGTTTCAAGATCTCGCTGTCCTGTCGGGGTACTGAGTTCATATCCCGGTGGGGCAAATGTTTGCATGGGAGAATCTAGTAATCAAGGTAATCTGTATATATATATATATATATCTTTCTTTTCGTCACTCTAGTATCCCATAACACAAGTCTTACAGTGCTTTCTTAGGAGCTACGTTAATTAGTGTAAGTGTTAGTAATGTTTATCTAATAATGAAATTTCTTCTTACAATAAGGAAGCTCCCGTTGTGCGCTGATCCTAGTTGATCATGTTCAGGCCAGGCTTCATCGAAGTCGGCGGAACATTGAGCGCTTCTCACTCCTTGAGCGTTTACGGCATTCACTTTCTCAGAGTCAGAACGAGTGAATAACATGTACTCTTCGAGAGGTTTCATTATGTAATCGTTTATTTCTACGAATATGTCTAGAAGAAGATTTGGCAGAAAGCTTATTATACATATATTTATTTAACTGCTAGATTTATTTATTTTAAACTTTATTGACCAAAAATGAATCAATCAATTTATTAATTTATCGATCAAAACCAATTTAAACATTCGAACTTTCCAACCTACGTTTTCCGGTATGCGCGCGGATAGCGGATGCTGGACCGAGTTTTTTTTGGCTCGATCACTTGAGCGCATTTAAATCAGGGAATATGGCAGTAATACGGAAAAATATTAAAACAAAAAAATATATCATACAATTTAAGCCATGAATGGCATAGCTACAGAGCATTACACGTAAAATATTTTAAAATAACTTGATAAAATAGTAATATCATCATGCCTAGAAATAAGACTTGATGATAATATTAAAATATCTAAGATAAAAAAAAGAAAAGATGAAAATTCACTTACTAGATAAGCAACCATTATACCCTTTGTAAATTTTTAGCCTGGGGTCTGTGGTGTTTAATCCCCCTATTTGCACTTCGTTGGAGCCAACGTCGAACACTTCCCACAAGCCTTGAGGTGGAAGTTTCTCTAAAGGCACTTCAATTCGATCTATCAAAAGCTTTGCATCTTGTCCTATTCTTGTGTAGTAAACAGTGTGTCGAGCACCTTGAAACAAAAGCACAATTTGTTTTGAACATGGATTTGAGTTGAGACAATAATAAAATTTATTTTATTTTTTAAACTTTATTGTCCTTGCATGTAAATGGTCGGGTTTTCATGCCAATTCGATGCCAAAATTGCCATTCTCTATCAGTAACCAAAAAGAACGTGCAGAGCTAATAAAATGGCAGGGAATTAAAGAAGATAGTTAACATCAAATAATGAGTAAAACTAAATTTTTATTGCACTTGATGAATTACCATTTAGAAAATTCCTGTTTTTAAATTCGGCACCGTAAGCTGAATCTTCACGATCCTCCTCGAATTTGAGATATCCATCTTGTGTTATAGCTACTAGCAAGTAATAGCTCCGCCTGAAAAAAAAAATTGCAAAATTATAAATTCTTGATATATTGTATAAAATTAATAACGATCTAGTTAAAAAAAAATATACTTGTTCTCTGTTTGTACTAAAAGCAATACAGTATTCTTTTGACGTAAATCATTGCTGGAAAACGCCAGTTTTATTTTGACCTGCAACAAAAGTCAACTTTAGTGGTAATAATGTGATATTGTTTCTCCTTTTTATTTTATTTGGGGAGCTATTTTAGTTTTACAGTATTTGAAAATTCATAATATCGAACAAACAATTTAGTTAATATTTTTTAAACATTTTAACTGTTAGATTTCTACATCTTCTTTAGATACATCAAGAAAAATCTTGTCGTATTTGAATGTACTATTTGTGCATTTTCCCGAATAGCGTAAGGCACTGGTTCAAATCCATAACATTTAGTGGATTTTTTCTAGTAAAATTTTCTTTAGATATAGAAACTATTCAGGGTAGACCATTATAAATATCGTAAGCATCATCTTTTTTTATTAAAGTCACCTTATTTATACCTTGGTAATGTGTCCGGTTAACACAAACTTGCGTTGGAGGATACTTTCCCCGTTAAAATCGGCACCTTTTTCCTCCATACAGTATTCTCCAAAGTAACTGGTGAGTTCGCAGTCGCAACTACTCTCCTGATTGGTGAAGTCCTCAGTGCAAACGCCACCGTTTTTACAAGGCTCTGAATCGCATTTCATATCGCATTCCGGTAGTACCCCTGTTAAATCTATAAAAATATGTTTTAGGGAACTCAAAAAGAAATTAAGGATCATATAAAAAAAATATTCAACAACATTCACCACAATTTATAGATTCACCGTTAGACCACGTTAGATGTGTTTTTTTATTTATGAATGTCAAAGTAAGAATTTAATTTTATTATGCAAAAATATTTTTTTATAGTTGTAAGTAGCATAAATTCATGATTCACTTATATTAACGTTTGAAGTAATAATTTTAAGCACTGATGTTATGTTAACATCATCAATCAGATTCAGTCAGATCAGTCAGATTTATTATAGGTTTAGATGTTTAAGACTCTGACGAATTAGAGCGCCCATCTGGGGAAGGAACGTCCACCCTATAGAAGGCCACAGTAAAATAACACTACCTTTTGGTGATGTTGTGTTTCTGTCGGTAAGTAAGGTTCCAGGGCTCCACGTGCTAGGGGATTGGATCAGGGTAGGCAATGGCGCGAGTGATATTTTTTGTATTGCAAGCGTCTATAGGCTATGGTGGCCGCTTACCATCAGGTGGGCCATATGCTTGTTTGAAATAATTTTAACATAAAAAAGACGTTAATTACTTACTTACCCTGATCTATCTCATCCTGAGCCTTTTTAGACAGATCGACAACATGGTCAGCTATTTTGAAACCTCTGACACAGCCCACGTAACCATCTTGCGGCAGTAAATTAGCTCTTGGAGCCAAATGTAACGAAAATGGATCAAAGCCTCCAAGATTAATTTGGAAATAATCCGTGGGCGGAGCTGGCGGTCTTTGTGGAAGAATTACCTCTGAAATTTAAAAATACCCAAATAACATAAAGTATGCCTTGGTTGCTGTTTGTTATATGGGACGTTTGTATTTTGTAAGCCTAATAAATCGTTTTCATATGTTAATGGAAAACCATAACAAACGATTTGTAGGAAAAGACAAAAGTTGAAAATCATTCCTAAATAAAACCTCATTCTTTTTTATGTTTATTAATCAGCTCTGAAGTCGATTGGCCTACTTAATGCAATGAAATGTTTGAGTTTGATGAATGAATTGTTTGAGCATTATCTACTTACCTAAATCAGGATTCACCCACGGTTTGTTAGTGTAATTTGTTAAAAGTCTAGCTACTTTAGCAATCGTCGTATTTTTATCATTCACGTGTAACGTAGTAGAGTTTTCTGTTCTAATAATGGCTATTTGTACACTCTCGCCTTTATTTATCTTTTCATATGTAACATTCATTTGTACTATTTCATTTTCGTCATTGAACAGATATAAGATTTCTGTGCCATTGTGTATAAACAGATGTATGAAATTATTAAGATTATCATTAGCATACAGGACTATTGAATTATCGTCATATGTTCTTAGATTCATCAGTACATCCTCTGTCATCATTTTCTTCAGTCTCTGCTTTTCAGCATCCGTTTCATTATCCGAAAGATAATTCTTCTTTAGATATGCCTCTTTCGTTTGGAAAGTTAAAGCTTTTCTGTTTATATCTGAAATTTAATAATTGCATTGTTATTTATGTGTTTTTATGAATTGGTGATAAAGGTTTAAATTAGTGTACTCATTTAAAACTATAATAATTACTTTCTTCGCAGTGTGTTCCCAAATGTGCCCACGGATTTTTGCATATACATTCGTAACTGGACCATAGTTCTTTACATATGGCCTTATTCTGGCAAGGGTTCGGGACACAAGAAGGCTTGCAGTCTTTGATGATCTCTGATAGATGGACTGACATATAACTGTAGATGTCTAGGATTTCACCGTTGACTACTAAGCCTCTAAAGCAGCCAATGAGCCCTTGGTGGACTGCTGACTTTTTTAGGTGTTCTCTAAGAAATATGAAAAAGAAGTTTGAGAAACAATGACTTTAAAACAGATTTAATGTAAATCCTAAACAAAAGTATTGCACCTGCACGTTTATGACCATATTTCTGAAGATACTGAATATGTATGTATTTTGTATACTGATTTATGCTGATAGGTAAATAATGTAATTTCAGTATAAATTTTTTTTTAAATTGGCATTGGCCAATTTGAAGTTATTGTATGGACTATAATTAGTATTAGTTAAATTAAGATTTAGAAAAAATGCTGCAAGTGGACCTTAGAATAAAGTGTTATAAAAATTAGATTAACTACACTTACGCAGTGGCTCCCCCGATAAACATAGATCCTTCAAAAGGTCCAAATTCTTCTTCCAATAGCAAATTCAACATTTGATACTCTGTATTGAGCATGAATCTGACATGGTAGAAGTTGTAATCTATCCAGATCTTGTGCCATTCGCCGCCGTTCAGTTTCCTTTTGGAATTGATGACGAGCTTTCTTGTAGTACCGGTGTTCAGAGTGAAGTTGAAAGTTAGTTCGTGTTCTGTAATGACATTAAAGTAGTAGGTATCATATTCTTCTCCAATTTTTTTCGTTTAGTTGAATAAGGATATTGGTGATGTTCTCTGCTCACTGATTATTTCTTTATCCTTCAAAATATATACCAAGTTACTGGATACTGCTTTACGTAAATAAATCAAAGTTGATAACTTACCATGTATGTTATTTAATCGGTATAGCTAATCTTGTTTAAAAAACAATGAAACAAGAATTTCATGTACAAAAAAAACTCGTTAGCTTAATAACACTTACCGCTAGTCAAAGCTACCATAAAAGACGGATAGTTAGGTCTAATAGGTGGTTGAAATAGTAATATAGCACTGGTGCCTGTTGTTCTAAAGCTAAATGCGATATCTCCTTTTCTCCATCCAGGCACTTCGATGTACGATTGAGATGTTGTAAATGTGACTACGTAGCGTTGAGTATCTAAAATAAAATGTTTACATTTTCATTGATTTAATCTTTATTTAGGCTCGATGAGGTGTATGTATCTGTTATTGTCGTTTCCCTATACAGGCTTCGTTTACCTTGTGTTTTTCCAAATAAAATATTAATAAATTTATCAAGTTCTATTCGTACTTTTCCGGTTTCCTTTGTTTAAAAAAAAATCTACAATATTATAAAAGCAAAGGTTTGTATGGATGTCTGTAACTCTTTCACGCTAGTAACGGTTAAAAGAATTTAGATGAAATTTGGCTTTAACATAGCTTATTACCTAAAATAACACATAGGATACTTTTTATCACAGAAAAACGTTAGGCTCCGGTAGGATTCCCAGAAAATAACTTTAACGTGTACAAAGTCTCAGGCGCATCTAGTAAATCTATATTGCGTATTTTTTGTTAGTGTGGAGTCAATTCACATGTATGGTAAGAAAAACTTACTAGTTTCTACACACTCAAGGGGCCCCAGCGTGATTCTCCCCTGAGCTTCTTCAGTCAAATCCTTCTGTTGTAGAAAGAACATTTCCGTTATGCCCAAACTCTTGGGGTCCACGTAGACGCCTTCGTCGGAATGCCATTTGTTTTCGTTGGCGTCGCAATTGCAAGACTGTGTGGGATTGACACAAGTCGCGTTCACTCCACAGGGGCAGTACCCTCTGTAAAGCAATAGCCTGCTCGATGTATGGGAGAAGTTACTGGAAGATGGCTTACTTTAGTATAATTACGATTCGAGGGAATGTTACATACTGGGATAATAATAAATTTGTTTATTATTCCATCACAATATTGAATCTTAGTCATTAAATGCACTGCATTATATTTGTGAAGGAAGGAACTAGCACCTGAAATAGGTTTCACAGAAACTTGAGCTGAAGCATTAGAGATAAGTTTTTTACTATCCTCGAAGAATTAGAACATTATTATGACACCATTTATAATAACACCTAAACGACATAAATTTGATGAGCCTCTAACAATGATAAGCAGGGGCGGATCTACTTAAAGCCTTTTTGGGCTGCAGCCCAGGGCCCCGCGAATACAGAGGGCCCCCAACCGAACTAAAACCAATAGACGATATTGTCAATAATAAAAATTATCTAGAATAATAAAAAAACCGATCATAAGGCTGGCAACACTGCGATGAAACAACCCGTGCGCATCTATCAAAGGGAACGGGGAATTCCCTGTCGCTTGTTTTCGGTCGGTGTATTCCGTGTGCTGTCTATTATTGGGGACTTCCCTCCGCTTATCGCCCGACGCAATTTTGTTATTTTTCCCCCCTTCTGCTATCGTCGACTATATTAACGAATTAACTTTGTTATTGTAAGAAATGTGGTAAGTTTAGTTTACTAAACTTACTAAACCGGACCTTTCTTTAAATTTACTAAAATTGAAATTATTCATCATAACTAGACTTCGTGCTTTTAAAAGGCAGTAGGTGAGTAAAAAGAATTATAAAACATGACTTTTTTATTTTTATTTCTGTTTTCAAAACTAAATGAATCGAACTTGTTCGATATTTAATGATAAATTTGTGAATTGTTACACTCATTACAAAGTAAGTATTAAAGTTAAAAGTTCTATCCAGTTCTTTGTTTATTTTCAGGAAAATAACTTATTTTACAATCTGTCTTCTAGAAAATATAAAAGTGGAGCTGAAAAAAGAAAATTACAGTTTGGTCGAGAAAATGAAAGAAATAAATGCGCAATTTTTTTTAAATCAGAAGATATAAACGTGAATGAAATAGCTATAAATCCATTAAAAACGTAAAGGAAGGTATTTTATGAGAAGATAATCTAACCGAAGGAAGCAAAAAATCGCAAAACCAGGGAAAAAAACAAGTGGTGAAATATGCAAGATTTAAAAAACATTCTGACAAACAAAAATTTTGGAAAGATTTTATGTAGTTAATAAAAAAGTACGGAGCCCTAGTTTAGACATTGGTGAAGGCAATAAGTTAATTGTGTCATTTAAAGAGTTCGTGAAAAACATAAGGCAACAATCAGATCAGAAACTAAAGGAATACGAAGAGAAAGCTAAAAAATTAAGTGCTAGTGTAGGAACAGACTACAGTGACATAAATAAGAGACGCATTACTTCAAAATTTTCATATAAATCAACAGATAAAGTCTCAGTAAACGGCGAAGAAAAATTTAAAAGCGACACGCTTAACGTTGCGCTGGATAAGGTGATTATGGATTTAAATAAAAGAAGTGATATGAGTGAAGAAGATATGAGACCTATAGCAAAAAGTTTAATTTTTTAATGGATTTGCAAGACAAAAATCAAGAACACATAGATCTGGAAAGTGTACGTAATGTTATTGATTATTATCCAAATGACGTAGACGAACATTTAGTGAATGAGTGCATTCAGTTGAAATCTTACTTACTGCAGTCTAAGGCAGAGTCTTACATCTCTGGCAGTGAGATTTTTTGGCTAATTTATGAAAAGAAACTTGTTGACTGCTATATCAAAACAAACTGCTATACCATCTTAAAGATTTTTTTAACGATGCCGATCACTATCTGTGAAGCCGAGCTTTCTTTCTCCAGGATGTCGTATATAGAAAACAAATACAGGACAACAATGTCGAACTATCGACTAAATCATTTATCAGTTCTTTCCATAAATTGCGATTTAACAAAGGACCTACAGTGCGATGACCAAATAAAAGAATTTGCAGCACAAAAATGCAGAAAGCTTGCTTTATAAGATAAATAACATAACCATTTATAACCTGCCAATTTATTTTGCATTAAATAATGTTTTAATAAATAAATAAAATATTTTGTTTTCCTATTTTCTTCCTGTACTTAACATATATTACATTACATATACCTACATCACTACAGAAAACAGTTTCTTGTCAAAATGGCAATTAGTTGAGTAATTAGGTAGGGCCCCTAAGCAGTATTAGCCCAGGGCCCCACAAATTCAAGATCCGCCCCTGATGATAAGGAATAAAGAAATTATGACAGAAATAATTAAATAGAAATCTACCTCTTAACATTTCCGAGATAGTCAACGGTGTCATTAGATGAGGATATGAACCATGTTGCACTGTGCAGTTCCAAAGGCGCCATGTTGCAGTCGTATTTAATATATTGTCGACAGTATAACGAATGAGAGATGAGCTCTTGTAACATCTCTGCTGAGAATTCTCTATACTTTATTTTGAAACTGAAGTCTTGTCCTGAAGCTGAACGAACATCCTGCAACGAAAACGGTTTCATTTTTGTATAATTTTTAGCGGCTTAAGACCATATTATTCATACTAGCCCCATCGTAACCTTTTTTTAAACACTCATCAATAGCCTATCCCCAAAGCACTGAAAGGCCTGTGTTATGGGATAGGAAAATGACCTGGGGGCCTACCGCCTCTCGGGATTGCTATGGCTACAGCTATGGCTTATGATATCATTTTTTTAATTCTGACCGCTTAAGACCTTTCAAATGCCTCACGCTCATTTTGTTTAATATTGTCATTACCAATGCAAAAAAAGAGCGCTAGGCATTTGAGAATCTTCGGTGGTCCGAAATAACAAAATGAAATCACAAGCTATAGCTATAGCCACAGCAATTCCGACAGGCGGGAGGACCCATGACCATACAGTTTTCTTTTAACTTATTGCTAGAGTCTGTGCAGAAAGAGAATGGGATTTAGATTGGAGGGCGCTGTAGTGCTTTTCTACCGTATTTGTAAGGTTTTACCCCTTTTAGACATGATTAAATACAAAAAACTATTTATTATCAATACAAAACTTTGACGTTTTACATCCATTACATTACATTGCTGGGTTTGATTGCCAAATAAAAATCTTAATGTTAGTTCCGTTTTTCGCCACGCCCATTCTCTTTCCGTACAGACTCTACACAAAATTTCGAGTTAATTCGAAATTGGTGTCGATGCTGGCATGAAACCCTCAACTTAAAACTAAAAACACCAGTCTTTCCTGTTCATTCTGTATAGACCATGAAAATGATACATTATTGTAAAATTTAAGTTTAGGTTTAGAGAATCATTACAGAATCTACACCATTGTTGATGTTATTTTACCACAAATACATTAAGACAAAACATTATAAAAAAGAAAAAACCTAGGTAATCAAACAATGTTATTCATTGAAGTAAGTTTTGTACTAAATAAAATAGGTGAAATTTCACTTTACTTACTACTTGGCTGGGTAGATTGTGTTCCACGACTGTGGTAGATGAGTCGGCTTCTATCTGGAACTCGCATTTAACGTGAGCTGGTGGAAACCTTCCATTGCCATCAATGTCTATGAGGTAAACATCATTTCGTGTATACCCTAGTAGAGCTAACTCTTCACAAGTCTTTCTAAACGTAGCGAAGTGACAGTTTTCGCCTATGTAGCCTAGAATCAAAGATATTATATTAAAAATCTTAAAGTATCGGAAATTTTTGATACCATCTTTAAGATAATCTTAGATTTTTTTAAAGAGGTTATGAATAGTATTCGTTCTATCATTCATTGTGTTCTTGCACGTTAATGGATGTATTTGATAATAGTAGAACAAATATAAATTATAAAAAAAATTGTACACTGATTGTGTTAAAAACAAAATCGAATCCTAAAAGTGAGGAGTATCGAATCACATACCTTTCAAACACTTATTATGTATACAGAACACAAATATTTAATTATATTTTTGATCTATATTACACAATATGCATATCATCTAATTGTCATAAAGTTTTATGCTTTATGTAAATGTGCTCGAGTTTCACATTCACACCGGACGAGTGAAATTTTTATGTTTCCTTAATTAGGTATATAGTGGCAAGGACAATCCGTAAAATTAACAAACACCGATGAACATTTCACCGGAAGTAACGCACGTATTTTATCAACGAAAACTAGTTATGCTGATAGAATTTCAAATTGCTCCTTTAGGTTAATATGTAGTATCAAAGTTTTTATTCTCACGATGAGAATATGTTATAATTATCGACTTTCATAAATGCGAAGATTAATGCATGTATTATTCAAAAGATTCCAATATTATGACTGGGAAAAAATGAACATGATTTATTTATTCAACACTGATGAAGGAGTGCTCTTTTAATTGAGTTCTTGTTCTGTTGGTTAAATGATGATTTTTATCCAACAGAAAGAAAATGCAATTAGAATGAGTTAGATATGTTTCTTTATTTTTCTAAAAGGTAAATAGTTATTTTGTAAAAGCAAGAATACCATCGCAAATAATAATAATCTTAGAGTTAGGTTCATTCTATTTTGTTTTCACGCAAGTAATCCTTAGGTCTTTTTGAATGTTAATACCGTACTTAAATCATCCAGAAACACCACACTAAGTTTGAAGGTCTCCTGTTCATGCACATTTTTAAAGGACAAAATAAGTATTAAAACTATTAAGACCCTGCTAACCGGTGTTATCACAGTTGAATATGACGCGATCCTCTTGTATGGAGTACATTTTCCGTTTATTAACAAGGTGGACGGTTACGAAGACATCATTAGAATTTAACCTACCAGTGTTATCACAGTTGTATATGACGCGGTTCTCTCGTATGCAGAACCTTTTTTGTTTAAGGTGGTAGGTTTCGAAGACAGTAATACAACCTTGCTCACCAGGGTTATCACATTGGCATATAACGCCTTTCTCTCGTACAGAGCACCTTTTCCGTTTATTAACAAGGTGGTAGGTTACAAAGACAGAATTAGAATCTTGTTCACCAGTGTTATCATAGTTGCATATGACGCTATCCTCCCGTATGGAGCAGATGCCGTTACGGGTCCACGTAACGGCAGTCGTCAATGGCCATTCCGCTGACCACTCGTTCCGTGTTAATGACGAAGATAGCATTAGAATCTTGCTCACCAGTGTTATCATAAATGCATATGATGCGATCCTCCCGTATGGAGCAGATGCCGTTACGGGTCCACGTAACAGCAGTCGTTGATGGCCACCTCGTCGACCAACCGTTCCTTGTTAACGACGAAGAGACTATTAGAATCTTGCTCACTAGTGTTTTCACAGTTGCATATGACGCGATCCTTCCGTATGGAGCAGATGCCGTTATGGGTCCACGTAACGGCAGTCGAAAATAGCCATCCCGCTGATCACCCGTTCCGTGTTAATGACGAAGACAGCATTAGAATCTTGCACACCAGTGTTATCACAGTTGCATATGTTACGTATGTGACAAAGACAGGATTAGAATCTTGCTCACCAGTGTTATCACAGTTGCATATGACGCGGTCCTCCCGTATGGAGCAGATGCCGCCGTGACGATGATAAGACAGCATTATAATCTTGCTCACCAGTCTTATCACAGTTGAATATGTTGCGTATATGACGAAGATAGCATTAGAATTTTCCGTGTTATCACAGATGCTTTTGACGCGTTCCTCCCGTATGGAGCAAATGCCGTTACGGGTCCACGTAACGGCAGTCGTCAATAGCCACCCCGCCGACCTCCCGTTCCGTGTTATTGACGAAGACAGCATTAGAATCTTGCACACCAGTGTTATCACAGTTGCATATGTTACGTATGTGACAAAGACAGGATTAGAATCTTGCTCACCAGTGTTATCACAGTTGCATATGACGCGGTCCTCCCGTATGGAGCAGATGCCGCCGTGTTCGCATGTATTGGGTCTCGTGCACGGGTCCACGTAATGGCAGTCGTCAATGGCCACCTCGCCGACGACCCGTTCCGTATTAATCACGAATCTAAAATATGAACCCCTTATTAGAAAACGTGGGCTAAAGCTAATCTCGACCTAAAATGATGCTGTCACACCTTTTTGTTAAAGAGAAGACAGAGACACCGTTAGGTATAAACTAAGTCTAACTTTATCCCACGTTTTGTAATAAGGGGGTGATAGTTGAAGAAACAGATCGACAATAGTTTACTCGAACTTTATTTGATTTGTAGTACGGCACAGGAGGTTTTGTTAGCTACTTCCATTGGAAAGCCTGATTGGAGAAATAATGGTCCTTAAAGAAGTTTTAGTCAAATAATTTTGTTGTAGTATTCTAGTAAGATTGATAGGATTCTTAAGGGTACAGTAACAAGGTTCAGACCGACAACGTAATGATAGCTGAAGTGTCACATAAATTTGCCTAATCGGTTATCAGTTACCAGTGATGACCTACGGATGCGAAGCGTGGTAATTTACTATGGGTCCCTTAGGAAGGCTCAACGTCACACAGCGGGCAATGGAGAGAGCCATACTTTTATTATACTGTAGAATCGAAATGAGGAAATCAGCAGAAGACTATAGTAACGAAGAGGAAAACCGAATGACCATTGGGGTGGAAAGGTTCTTGAATGGCGACCGCGCACCGAAAGTCACTCGGATAGGCAAGCCTTCCACCAGGTGAACCGGCGATGTATTGTAGGTGATCATGATTCAGCTATACTTTTTCCCTTCATATTTGATCATCTGCCATACTTACCATTATATCATGCCATTTCACCATAATATAGGAAAAGCCGGTGCAGTGCCAACCCCGAATTTATACGAGACAATGACTCGACGCAATGTAAAGCCTGCACACCACGGACCTTCGGCTTCGGTGCAATCACAGAACACAGAAAATATGTGTTCTGTCGGTGCAATATTCCACATTTGTTTTCTCATTGTACATTCGTTACATCGAGTAGAATTATATCCATTGTCAGTTAATTTATAATAACTTTGATTTCTATGCAAAAGTTGTAGTAGTAGTCGCAATTAACTTATCGTTAGGGGGGTTTTAAATAAATAAGAGAAATGGAAATATGTAAATAATTATATGAATACAATGTTGAACGCTCAGGAGTTGCTACATCTATAAAAGTTTAATGATGATGTTTAATTTATGAACAATAATCGTAAAATGTTAATTATCAACTAAGCGCAAATTGAAATTGCAAATGTACAGTGGTATTTCTCAGAGGCGTTAAACATGTTTTCTAGATAGATTTATATTTTATTACCTCGGCTCTATAAGAAGCCCGTTGATCTTGATGTTCCTCATGCATCCAATCAGGCCAAGATTGGCAGATTTAAGTCCACTGCCAATGACAATTTTATCTTGCAATTGGAAATCGAGACCTAAAAACATAATAATTATAAAGTCAATTTATTTTTTCATACATTCCCAGAAAGTTTGATGTATGTTCAACTTTATGTTAAAGTTACCTTGTTGATTATTCTTGTCAATACAGAATCTATAAAGTATCCGAAACAACGGGATTATGTAAAATATTAAAAGCACAGTTTAAGCCCGTTTGCGTGAAAACATAAGTATATGCGCGAAAACATAAGAAATAAATAATATCTATTTAAGAAACTATTATTTTCTACTGTTATGACGAACAGCAAAATAATAAGGATAGTATTACCAAACATCTGTGCATGTTTATTGAGATAGTCCACAGTTAATTTGATCCTGCCCTTTCTGTAGTCCAGTTCTACATTGTGCCAGTCGCTGCTCACATTAAATTTAACCGATTTTAACACAGTGACATTTTTACCCACATCTGGAACTAATTCAAAGCGGATTTCTTCTTTTACCATCCTTACCTTAAAAATATTAAAAAAACGTTTATTATTAGAAAAAAAATACTTTACCAAATATTAAGAAATAATTGTGAGAATGAAGACAATTCGAGAGCTAAGCTAAATAGAGAACATATAGGTGCACTTATTTTGAATCATAGGTTTCAAATTTTCAATTTTTTTTGATATATTACGGTAGTTACTATGCTAAAACTACTAAACTTATAAACATAAATGGCTTTCATTCCAATTTGGGTTGCTCTTACGAAACAAGATAAACGTTGTCACAAACCAATCTCCACTAAAACAACGCCGTCGGGCTTAGCAAAATATATTAAATGTTTTTTATTAACAGAGTCGTAAAAATGAATTTGTGAAAGTATAAATGTTACTTCAGACTTACAATTCATCAGTTCATATAAGGAAGATTATATTATTTAATAAGTAATTTATTTGGTTCGATTCTTTATCACCCCTTATACAGTGGTGGTCATATAATTAGAAACCCTTTTTAAGAATAAAGAAAGTATAACTTCAACGTACAAATGTTCGTAAAAAAATATACATATATATTTTATATTTTATGCATTTAATGAATAAAAACTCATTAAATGCATAAAATATAAAATATACCTTAGCTTTAAGAGCCCTTTTACAAAATTGCGCCGTGCCGTACTGATCGGCGCGTAGGTAGATTTGCACTAGTAATATTGCATCTTCGGGTGATGTATCGAATCTTATAAAATAATGATTAGTTTTATGAAAGTTTTTGATAGTAATTCTATTTAATTCAATATCAAAATATGGATAAACCTGCATTGTTTTTTGGAAAAACTCACGGAGGTTAGATGTTTTTTTTTGATAATTAATGAGATGGAAAATCAAAGTTCTAATACATTATGTTACAACAAAATCATTTTTCTGATGTCGTAGTAATTAGTTGATCTAATTTATTTAGAGATTCAGGCGTTTAAAGTTGTGCATATAATCGTTTGTTTCGTAAACTAGCTGCGGTAGAACGATCAGTACAAAAAAAGGAAAATAGTATTTGCAAATATTCTACATTAACTTACAATAGGAAGACTAAATCTACTGTTTACTTCTATTGGAAATAGTCAAAATCTTTTCTAAGGGGGTAAACACGAGGCGCTCAAAAATTATGATTTTTGCAAAAAATGTGAAAGGGCTCTTAATTACAAAATGAATCTTACACATGTAGGAGTTTATTTTCTGTTACTGGCCGCTTGGACGCCTAATTAGAAACATTTTAAAAAAGGATCCATAGCTCCTTCTTTTTTTGAAATTGGAGAATAACATTTCTTTCTTGGCTTTTTCTATTATTTTCGCGGCAATTCAAAATTTTATCTGAACTTTATTTTGTTCAAAGTGGGAGACAATAAAAGTTGTGACGCGTCTACTACGAAATAATTTTAATTTACATACAGATCATAAGTGGGCGTACAGAAGTATAGCTGAGCATTTAAATTGTTCTGTTAAGAAAGTTTTTAATGCAATTGATCATTATAAAACACATGGAACTGTTGAAAATGTTCTTAGAAAGGCTCGGCCAAGAAAAGCCTCTCCCAGAGAAGATACGTTAATAATAATAATAATAATAAACACTTTATTGCTCACATACAAAAGGACATAGGTACAAACAATACATTAATAACAATAATATGGGCAAAGGCGGTCTTATCGCTACAAGCGATCTCTTCCAGACAACCTTCGCGGTATAGGTAAGCTAAACGGAAAAGAAGATGTAGTAAGCCAGCAGAGTCGATGAGAAATGTAATTAATATAATATACATACATATAAGTAATTGTCTATCATACACTTACATATACATATTATATATATATATATATACGTTAATTGTTTGTGTTACTAAAAAGACCCAAATAAAGTAAAATTGTTTTTAATTAGTTGACCATTATTGTTCATACATTAAAACTGATTTAAATGTTTGTCCGTAATGTAATATTGAAACTGCACTCGTGTAATGGGATTTATATTGTTTTTCTAATGAATGATAAATCGTTGACCATATTGTTGTCGTATTTATTTTTAATTTCAAAATAAAAACGATTGCGGTGAACTATCTTACATAATGTCAAGGAACGTTGGTTTGTGTTTCTATATATACGACCACTACTGTTTTATATACAATTATTATTTGACTAGCGACCGCCCGCGACCTTGTCCGTGTTAACATTAGTTTTTCATCCCACAAAAACCTATCATTTTTCGGGATAGAAAGTATCGTATGTCTAAATCCAGTAAATAATGAATGATAAATCGTTGACCATATTGTTGTCGTATTTATTGTTTAATTTCAAAATAAAAACGATTGCGGTGAAGTATCTTACATAATGTCGAGGACCGTTGGTTTGCGTTTCTAATTATACGACCATTACTGTGTTATATACAATTATTATGTGACTAGCAAACCAGTGAACCAAATGTTCACCAAAACCTGATTTCTCGAAAACCGGAAGTGCTACGTTACTCAAATCCGATTTGTAGTCTTATCAGACTATTCTTAACTTATAACTTAAATATTCTCTTTATCTACCTCTTACGGTTTGGCCGCTGAAACAGCACCACAGACAGACGGACGGACTTGTCTAATAGATAAGAGATTAGCGGCCGCCCGCGACATTGTCCGTGTTAACTTTAGTTTTTCATACCACAAAAACCTAACATTTTCCAGGATAGAAAGTATCGTATGTCTAAATCCAGGTGAGAAAATCTAAATCGAACGCTTTTGAAATGTCATCCAAATCATTCAGTAGTTTTTGCGTAATTCAGTAACACAAAATTTAAAGAAAAGTTTTAATAGAAAAAAATCCACGCGGACCAGGCAGCAGACGGGACTCGAACCCGCACTTTGAAAAAAATACCTATAAAAACCTAACACAAAATTCCTCATTTATAATTTTAGTAGGATTAAAAGTTTATAATGTTTTTTTAGATCATAGACTTATTTAAAATGATAGTCCGCCGTTGGAAATAAGCACCAGAAAATTGATTTTAACAAGGCAATGCTAATTCGATAATTGTAATGTTCCATTCTATGCTTGTTTTCTAATTCTCATCGCTACTTTTTCTGTACGCGTATTAAGTATCAGAAGAATTTTAATCTTTTGAAACGTACCAGTTGCGAAAGATTTTCACAAAGAAAGTTGATTGGCTTATTTAAGGAATCTTCTCCATTACTACTGACTGCGTACATGTGTTTTTTTTGCTCTTTTATCAATCTTTACTAGGCGTCAAATCAATGGACGAGTGTATTGTTGTTTAAAAATCTTAAGCTGGCTATAAATAAAACACAATAACATAAATTTAAAGCCCTTACCTCCCAATAACCTTGCCCGGAGGTAATCTGACTGTAAGCTAAAACAGCCATATTCTTGCTGGTTTTAAAGTCGAATTTCAAATTGATGCTGTTGGTCTGATTCAACGGCCACCATATATGGGAAGTCGCAAAAGGATAAGTAATCGGTATCAGTTCTATATCAATCTCTTCGAATTCCGGATCCAGCACTCCGATATAATGGACCTTTGTATTGTTCTGCTTTAGCTCATAAAGTATAGAGACGTCATTGTAGTAAACATACTTTAGGTTGCCGGCGAAATTGTTGAAAGATTTCAGCCCTTTCATTTTGTGTAAATCGGGACCGCCGCATATATAAATCTCCGGGTCTATGCAGACGTATCTCGCGTTCCCTGGTACTTCGTAAGTTCTCGTTACGTCATCCAAGTAAACTATAACGATATTTTCTTGCAGTATAACTGTTATGTTATGCCAGCGGTTGTTATTGACTTTCTCTCCAATGTAATCTTCAACAGGTCCATCTCCAAGATCGATCTGTATTGCCAATCGTTCTTGGTGGATTGATAAGGCGATGTAATGATGTTTGTCGTCTATTTGACCGCTTGCATAAAACAGAGCTGAATCATCAAACCGGGTCTGCAAGATTTATAGGCGTTAATTAAGCTTTGCTTTTGGGTATGGTCTGTTTTGTATCAAAATTAGAATAGCAAATGTTAATAAATTAATTCTTGTAAAGGTCGTTTTTTTGAAAACATGTTACTGACTCTTTTTATTATTACTTAATATATTGTTTTGTGCAGTAATCATATCATTAATCGTGTATATTGATTGTTCAGCCATAGATTTAGGAAATTATGTAAGTAGTGTGGTGTCATAAAGCAAAATCTTACCTTAAAATGTAGGCTGACTCTGGTATTCGTTGAGTGAACACGGTCTTTCCAATCATAAACTCTGTAGGATACGTAGCTAGAGCCGCGGAGAGTGAGAACGGTCGCCGCTGAAATCAAATAGCAGAGCATCTGAAGTACTGCGGTAAAATCAGTGCCGTCTTTAGCCTATTAGGATAATGGGGCCCCTATGACTTCCGTTTGGTGATTTAACAGGAACTAGGGACTTTGTATTTGATCTGAGGGGGCCCCCTATCGATGGCGGAGTCCTGGGCACTTGCCCAAAGTGCCCACTGGGAAAGACGGTTCTGGGTAAAATATATAAACAATGTAACTACATAATCAAAATTTCAAATTGCTCACATCCATATTCACACCTTAACTTTGCATTTAGTATTACTTAGATCAAAGATTTTGACAGATGTGTAAGTCACTTGAGACCTATAACAGTTTTCGAACAAATCTTATCCATTGTAATGTACAGCATCACATTATGGTCAGTTAGTTTTTATGTTTTTGTAGGCACGGGAAAAAGGCATCTGGTGATTTCCATGTTTTTCTTTTGCTTCTAGTCATTATAAATGACATAAAGTTCAAACCCAAATGTTTTTTTAATTTTTTGAAAACAGCATGCTATAAACTTATATCCTACGTCCTACCGGCCCTCAAAGAACATTTTGTTATAAAAAATATGAAAACATTATTATTCCACATCAGACCGGAAATAGATTTAGAGATGACAAAGACATTCCTTTACTCTGGTATCACTAAACAACTCCGTCAAGTAATTCTAATAGCTGTTTTAATAATTACTATTTTTATCTTAGTATAATAAATTAAAACAAACAATAAAAAGCTGTTTCTTAACTTGGCAACCCTAAATATTGATAAAAAATGCAGCAGCTGTGTTGCCAGTGATGTAATCGATATGTTTAAAAGTTAAATCTCCGTCACAATTAGCGAAAGTGAGGTATGTTGTTCTTAAAATAACTTGTACTTATTCGTAAACCACAAACTGCTTGACAAATACGTTACTAACCAATTTAAAAGTTATTAGAAAAAGGTTTGTGAACCAATAGCAGAGTAGTACATTGTTTTTTATTAAAAAAATATTGTTAGAAAATATTTTTAAACCTACATTCGATTATATATCTCTCCGGTGCAAACAATCAATTTAATTTTTGTGATATAGTAGCAGCAGTATCGTCCCTTTTTCAATATACTTTGGGCAGAAAAAAAAACAGCGAAAAATCAATTAATCTTTCAAATCTTGTTTTGAAAACTAACCATAGAGAAAGATATATCAACTACCAAATCTGTGTCTATGATTTTTCTCACTCCAAGTAAAGGCTGAAAAGGTTGAAGAACTCACTACAAAAATGGAGCTGGTATTCGCTTAGTGTGCTTGATGCTTATTTAAAGTGTGATATAAAATATTTTATCTTCACCCAAGCTTTAAAACCGCTATTCATGATTCTGAAACAGTTAGCTTACCGCCAACATTAAAATGTCCAATGTCATAATAAAAAAAAAGCATAATAACATCCGTTTAGGTGTTATGTTTTTTATAAATAATAGCTATTTATTCAACTGTTGTATGATGGGGATTATAAGAACATTTTACTTTTTTAATAATACCTAATTATGAAGAGGCGCATTCTGACTTTATCGACATCCATGATATGCATCTTCTATAAAAGATTCTGAAAACATGGGGCGTTCTAAGAACTTAAAATTCATCAAATGTTAAGGCGCTGTGGTAGTGAAATGCAGGTGAATGACAACGTTCTTTTTATGAAATTCATAATACCACGCATCGAGCAGTGAAAATTGTGGCTGTCTGATGAGTAACCCTTGAGCGCTGAAGGGATTTGTTGGCAGTAAGCCAACTGTTTCAGAACCTTATCGAGGTTTTAAAGCATGGGTGTAAATAAATTTCATAATAACACTCTTTAACTTTGAAATCCCTTCCGCTTTTATAGATGATTCAAATCATGTACGCACCTGTTATATAAAATAAGTATTAAAATACCCCTCATTATATAACAGTTGCATAAATAACTAGTTAGTTACACAGATTGCTGCAACTAGGGACATGATAAATATAAACTATATCAACCTAGTAAGTGCTTACAATGGGTATAAAATTTAGCCTACATGCATAAACATAATACCAAAATTAAAATTGTGTCTCCAAAATATTCAGGTCAAGATATGCGGATATACTAAAAAACAACGACCTGTCAAAACACTTTCAAAGCGACTACTTTGAGCTTATCATGACATAGCACAGCTTAATCGCAATCTCTCGGATCAGTAATTAAGTTAAAACAATAAGCTAAGTTTCAAACAAGTTTCTAATTGTGCAGAAAAATGTTTAATCTTATATCTTGAAAGTTCTCTGCTGTTGTTGCAACTTCAAATCCGTTTATAATAGAGTCAAATAGTCAATTATCTTTACGGGCTTAAAATATCACCTGAAAATATTTTTGGGATAATGTCAAAAGGTTTGTTAAAAGACAATGTTGTAAATTAACCGCGTTCATTCGATTACCTCCTTGGATTAGAGAACAATATATTTAGATGATATTTTTGATGAAGCATATATTCGTAAACCAACTACTCAAGATAACGCGAAGTTGTAATTATTGAATAATGTCAGATAAACTGTGTGTCCCTTCGTTCTATACAGTTTTCCCACGATAGTAATGATGGAAAACGCTGATAAAAAACTGTTGAAGCACGAATTGCGAGTCTAATTGTTCACGCTTCCAAGTCTCACGAACAAGAAAATATTCTAAATGATGGTCGCAATGTAAATCTTCCTCTTACGAGTGTTATTATAAGAATTTAGGGAAATATTGTTAACTTGCAGATTATTTAGGTACTACTTGCCAAAGGAGGTTCTGATGCAGTTATATTTTTAAGAATGCAAAAAAATCGAACATTACAGAGAAATCTGATACCTTTTGTCACTAAAATTAGACGCAACCACAGTTTTTGTTAGGAAATTATATTTAATTTTATAGAATATAAAATTAAGAAAATAAGACGGGAAGGAAACTCGAATTAATATTTCAATAAGTTAATGGAGGTAGAGAACGTACATAATAACGAAATGATTTTCATAAAAATAAGTTTAAGTACTGACATATAAAGCCATGAATTCACTAAGAAACAATTGATCAAAACACTGTTTCATAAACAAAATCTACGTGTTTCTAAAACAATTTAATTTGTCTCTGTAACATGTGAAACTATTGCAGTAAACACTACGTGTTTCTCGTGATGTTTCGGTGCTCCCCGATCGAAATGGAGAGCATGGAAACAAATGAGTTTTGCACACCTGTTTACAGGTGTGTTTCAGTAGTTTATAAACATGGTGGCAGTGTGGGCTTAATACTTACTATAAACGTCACAGAGTTGCTCTTCGTACAATGTGCCAAAGCAGTCACATCTGTAGCCGTTGTATTCATTGATGCATCTAGAACCTTGGAAGCACAAATTCTCCACTGTCATGCATTTGTTAATGCATCCCTCTTTGACGTTCTCATGTTTGGTAGCTATCAGGGGTACTATAGGTAAAAGATCAGATGCGGCCTTTCCAGAACTGAGCACCATATCGCTGATGCAACCGACAAAAGATTCTATGATGTATTTGACTCCGTGAAGTTTCTCCTCTGAACTGAGACCTATAAATTCAAAGACTTTGTTATTGGTCATCACGATTATTAAGGCTCATAAAATTGTGTTGTTATTTTTGACAATTTAACTTTTTGCTGTCTTTTTATGACTGATCGTAACTATTTTTAATAATCACTTTAACTAATCTCAATACTCGTGTGTGGCAGAATAACATAAGGGGCTCCTATTATATTACATTCCTCCAGTAGCTCCTATTCAAAACACTGGTGATTTGGATCGGACCAAAAGTTATGGCTGTTTGTTGATTTTTTTTCTGCCGTTCGGCTCTTCATAGAGGGCTCAGGTATGGTGGGAGTTCTGCACATGATGCAAGTTTTCCCCCCATATGTTAACCTGCCGTGATCGAGTTAATTCAAAAATCCCCGCTTGGGCTCCCCTACTATTATAAAGTTGATGTCTCACCTCCAATTAATATAACTGACGTTAAATTATCCGTGATGCCATAGTTTGTATCGAAGCTTAAACCCTGAAAAATATTTTGATTATATACTAAATTATTTACAACAACTCATTAACCACCGTTACAGTTAAAACTATAATATCACTTTTATGAGCTCTAAAAAAAGTTGATATACCTTTAGGTAAACCTCTTCTTTGAGTTGGTCTACTTTAGCGATGAGCCTTGCACCGTGCACATCAATAGTAACCACCACGCTGTGCCACTGGTCTCTGTTCAGAGCTCGGCCTACAGTCACCGATGTCAAGTGTTTACCGAAGACGTGTACCACTAAAAACGAAACAGATATTAGGTAGGTGTTTGGGGGCGACAAAAAACTTAAGACCAGTGTCACCAGTTCATCGTTCAATTTTCAAAAAACAATCTGACATCTTCAAATTTATTCTAATAATAAAAAAAACCGGCCAAGTACATGTCGTGCCACGCGCAGTGTAGGGTTCCGTAGTTGCCTGTAGTTACCACAATATATTTGAGCAGGAGTCTTTATTTTCTATACCGGAAATTAAAAAATCCAATTAATATCAATCTATGTATCTCAAATTAAATACCTAAATCAAAGTCAAACTGCGCCTTAAACTCAAAATCAATTCGATATATAAGTACTTATATATTTTTTTAATACGCCGATTTTTTTTTCGTTCCTCCCAGGCGGGGGAGCGGGTATGAAATCCTCATGGATACCCTACAGCAGGCTGCAAGGTTATGGCATGGCATGACTCTTACTGACTAAAAGCATCATCTGAAGTGATTATTTTTTATCCGTGCGGTGACAGAGAAAGAATACAATTCATTCTTGAAAACCACGCATGACTTGAAGCAACTGGTCGATCAGCCTACCAAGATTCCAGATATTTCAAGTCTTCAGGGCACAACACTGGAGCTAGAAAGCAGTACCACCATGCTCGGTATGGAGATTCGCTCTGACTGTGTGTGAATTACATCGAAAGTGTGATAAAAAAAGGCTTCACACAAACTCGGGGTCCTGAACAAGGTGCGGCGTTTTTTTCACGCCCGAGCAACTGTGCTTGTTGTATAAGACGCAGGTGCGGTCTTGCGTGAAATATTGCTCGCACCTCTGGGATGGCTCCGCCAAGTACTTGCTCAATGGTTTGGATATATTACAACAGCGCGCGATCCGCATCATGGCGATGAGAAGGTGACTAAACATCTCGAGCCTCTTCAATTACGCGTTCTATCGTCTGTACCACGGCGAGTGTTCTGATGAGTTATTCTCTCGTATTACATCTTCCCCTTTCCTTCAGAGGACCACGCGCGCTGTCTTTCGTTGTCACCGTCTAACTGTGGCCACAATTCCAACGCGTACAAAGAAATTTGGTGACTCATTACTTTGTCGCACTATCCATAAATGGAACGCTCACGTATGCTCTCCCTCTTACAACATGGGATCCCTTAAAAGAGGCGTAAAGAAGCAACATGCAGGCCGGCAGGGTGTGGATGGCTGGCGAGGTTAGAACTGCTGTATCAGTTATTTTCGCATCCGGACTTCACCTTCACCTAACATCAGGTGGGATGGAGTCTTTTGTTGGACCTATCTATATGATGATGCGGTATAACCGCCGATCTTTTCAAGTGCTTCTTATATACTTTTAATAAAAACGTAACGTTAACGTTAGCGCGACTGAGAAGCCGTTGCTATTGTACTAGTACTCGCGGTAGCGTTGTGGAAATAATGATATTTTATTGTGATTTTTAAATAGTTTTTTTTTATATTTGTTTCTTAGGTTTTCACGCACATCACTCATTAAATAAAACTAGTTTTTACGAGTTAATGCACGAAACTTTATTTATTTATTGACGTTTCGCAGCCTTTTCAGGTCTGCATCGTCAGAATAATGATTTTTTATTTAAAATTGTCGAGCTACCTTCGAAAGACTTATATTGAGCGTTCGGTTATTTCATTGGAAGATTTTTAAAATTTTTATTGTCTATGTATGAATTTATTATTTAATTTACTTAATAAAGTATTTTATTTAAAATTCTTGTTTGTAATTTTGAGTTTATTTATTTATTTGACCCTAACTACCGTAAACTACCACCGGTTCCAAAATTGGGAGACCTTCCTGAGAAGAACCGGCGAAACAAACTCAAGAGAGGCTTTCTATCTCCTTCTTATGTTAAATTATGCAAACAAAAAGAACTAATAGTATCTGATGGTCTTGCAGTGTGTGCTCGGGGTTGGGATTTTATCTCCTGTATAATAGGTTCCCAAGCTGGTGGTATATACCAACCATCTTCCCTATTGAAATTTGGATATTTTTTAATCTCAATAGCCTCGCGCATCATTCGAGGAACGAACCGCCGTTCAGCTGCAAGGATCTGTGGTCTATCAAATCTAATGTAGTGGTTTGGTCCCCCTAATGCATGTTCACACACTGCAGACCTATTATTATATATATATATTGATAAGGGGGACCAAACCACTACATTAGATTTGAATGACCACAGATCCTTACAGCTGAACGGCGGTTCGTTCCTCGAATGATGCGCGAGGCTATTGAGATTAAAAAATATCCAAATTTCAATAGGGAAGATGGTTGGTATATACCACCAGCTTTGGAACCTATTATACAGGAGATAAAATCCCAACCCCGAGCACACACTGCAAGACCATCAGATACTATTAGTTCTTTTTGTTTGCATAATTTAACATAAGAAGGAGATAGAAAGCCTCTCTTGAGTTTGTTTCGCCGGTTCTTCTCAGGAAGGTCTCCCAATTTTGGAACCGGTGGTAGTTTACGGTAGTTAGGGTCAAATAAATAAATAAACTCAAAATTACAAACAAGAATTTTAAATAAAATACTTTATTAAGTAAATTAAATAATAAATTCATACATAGACAATAAAAATTTTAAAAATCTTCAAATGAAATAACCGAACGCTCAATATAAGTCTTTCGAAGGTAGCTCGACAATTTTAAATAAAAAATCATTATTCTGACGATGCAGACCTGAAAAGGCTGCGAAACGTCAATAAATAAATAAAGTTTCGTGCATTAACCCGTAAAAACTAGTTTTATTTAGTTTTTTTTAATATTCTGTTGCAATGCAAGGTTGCTACAATAACTTCATCTATGTCACTATTAATGTTTTCTTCTAAGGATTTTTCTATAGGTAAGAAATTTTCTTTAACCAAAATTGAACGACTATTACCCATAAACAAACAAATGCCAGAAAAGCACTATTATCAATTAATTTTTCAGGGTTTTCAAGCCAATAATTGAGGGGGGGGGGGAAGCTACTCGAACAAAAATTAGCATTTTAAAGTTCACTATTTCGTAAACGGATCCTTAAATCGAAAAATAGTATAAGGAACCCTTAAGTCATTTTAAAAGGATCTATTCAACAATATACCACACGATCTCGTAAAAAAATAACAAAATTTTATTCTACCGTTTTGTGGGCGTGATCGATATACATATCTCCACAAAATTACAGATCTCTAGTGCTTTAGTTTATTAGTTTCCAAGCAAAACCGAGGATGGACAGACGGACGTGACGAAACTAAAAGGGTTCCTTTTCAGGACTACGGAACCCTAAACAGGGTGGCAAACAAGCGTATGGTCCGCCAGATGGTAAGCGGCTACTATAACCTATAGGCGCTTGTGATACAAAAAATCTCACTCGCACCGTTGCCTTCCCTGACCCTTTCCCTACCCCTGGAACCCTACTCACCGACAGAAACACAACACCACCATAAGGTAGTGTTATGATACTGTAATCTCCTGTAAGGTGGAGGTTACATTCCTAGACGGGGGCTCCAATTCAAGTGGAAAATCCGCTACACTACTTCTTTTCATACTTATATTCTACAACTGTAAAACTAAACTTTCATTTAACCACATATAACTTCTGAATAGGCTACAAGGGACTTTATGATCATGCAGTGAAACAGGTCCTAAAATTTTACTAATCATTTTTGATAGTCATAGTCATTATGCACCCAAGCAACAACACCCAGTTACCTTTCAGTTCTCCCTTTTCGACGATCACGTACAACGCGTAAGGTTGCATTTTGAACACGGGATTCTTGACGTTGTGATACACGAGCAAACCGTGGGGTAGTCTTGTGCGGAACTTGAATGATATCTCTCTGCACAACCTGTGCAAAAATGAAGAGGTAGAGAAAATCAATTTAAATTTTTTAGTTATTCGGAATAATACATTTTTCTTGACTTTTTTAGTAAACTGAAATCTGTATTGCACCGTGAATGAAACATTTTAATAGTATCAAAATTGTTATAAGTCACAGTACCTAATTTATTTGTAAAAAGGGTGTTTGGTTGATTTAAAGGAGTTTGCTCAAGTTGGCCAAAATGCACAAAAAATATTGACATACACGATAGTTCTTGGCGTAATTTATAATTTAATTAACAGTTATTAGATTTCAACGGACACCTTTGTATAATATATTTACTTTAAAAAGGACTTTTAATTTTACCGGTTTGGAAAACATACGAATCATTTTTAATGGCTATGGGTGTAGTAACATTCAGCCAAAGACTGATCGAAGTTGTTGATATAACATAAAAACAAATCTATTTTAATTTTTTTTTTTTATTACACTGTGGTATTAATATCCACCACTATATTAACATTTTCACTAGACGCAAATGTGCTCAGACAATTAGTATAGATGGTAGGCGACATCATAAAGTCTGTTGCCATACATTTTTCGCCAAAGACCTCCATAAACACATTATAATCTGTATTTATGTTAGACTTTAAGGTATCTTCTATGGGCCTACGTTCCCTGACTATAAATTAATAAATAAATAAAATTATAAGGTGTGATACACTAAAAATCTAAAATATGGTTATCTTAAAAACATAACAAAAATAATGAAGCTACTGAATATATGGCTATAGAACCTAAATCTCTTAGCTTTCTTTGGTTAACGAGAGTTTAAAAATTCTCTTTAATCTGTGGCTCATTCACAATCATCACACAGTTTCTGTCACAGAGTACCTTATTATAACCGGAAATGACACCTCATCTTAAAAGTTACTCTTATGCATTAAATTTAAAAACAGGCAACTATCTGTTAATCTACATGCTCTATATACTTGAATCTAATCCATAATTTCGGTCTTGGCTTGATTTCCCTAGTTTACTATATAACTTTTTTGTTTTTTATTATTTTATTATGTTCAGTGTATATGGTTTATAGAAGTTCTCAGGGGTGTCCGTCAATAATATTCGTTTCTACAGTAATTTATATACAATTTCGAATCTAGGAAACAATTTTTCATGATTATTGGTCTTTAGGCCAAACATGTATGGAAGCTGAGCAATCTCCTTTATTACATTATGTGATGGAAGTTGACTCAACACATGTTTGCAAGTTTGATGTCAACTTTCAATTGGACGACATTGTATGAAATAAAACAGGAAGAAAAAATCAGCCCTTGCTGAGTTTCTTGCCGGTTCTTCTTAGTACAAGGTCTCCCGCCGTAGATTTGCGAACTGATGGCGTAGCTTTTCGACATTCACAAGTTCTTGTAAGGGGCCATCCATAAATTACGTCACACTTTAAGGGGTAGGGAGGGGGTCGACGAAATGTGACATCGTGTGACAAGGGGTGGGAGGGGTCCTAAATTTCGTGACGTCACATTTCAAAATATATTAAAATCTAAGTGTTGAAACTATTACTTTACGAAAGCATTAACAAACCAAACGAGAACAAAGTGGTGCTATGCCAGTTATAAATAATTTAAAGGAGTGGGATCAATGTCCATGGACTCAAGATTATTAAGTTTGTATCTTTAATTTAATTATAATGCTATTAATATTTTATGTTTTGTTAATTTCTTTAATTAACATAGTCAATCACTTTTTGTTCGGTAATTTCTTTAATAAATATAATTAATCGTTTTTTTTGTTTTGTTAATTGTTTGATTTGATTATAATAATAATGAAAAAACAATTTAAATGGAAATAAAACTGATTACAGAACCGCTGTTTTCATTCAATGATTTCTAAATGTAAATTTGCAAAATATGTGACGTCACACTAGGGAGGGGGGGAGTCTTACAAATGTGACGAGCTGTGACAAGGACGGGGGGAGGGGCAAAAAAGACATGAAATTCGTGTGACGTAATTTATGGATGACCCCTAACAGCCTAGACTGAATAAACGATATTGTTTTTTTTTATTTTTTTTTTAAGGAAAAATAAATAAGAGATACAAAAAGCAGAGAAAGATAATAAACCTGTGGAATATGTGGGTATAGGATTCTTGGTCGTATTAAAATCACTACGACAAAGAATCAGTTATTATGTGAGGAATAAGGAGCTAATGCTATAGTAATATAGTATAAAATGACAAAAGTTATACTACACTGAGGAAATATTTTTGGGGCTATCGCATCGAAAGAAGGATGTTTTAAATAGCTTATTCATACATATATTAGCAGTGAAAGTCAAAACAAAACTATAAAGGAATAACTGCCTCGTCAATGTCTTCATTCATAAGTGATCTGAGTTATAAAATGAAGCTTTAATAAATTAACCAGGTAATATGCACACGACGCATTTCGCGGATTACGTAATATTATTTATGCTTTTGCGCTATCGAGTGTAAAGCAGTAGTAAGTTATAAACGATTACAGCTTTGGTTTCGAAATCTTGGGTATGACACACTTTCATTTGGGAAACATCAGATATTTTTTATCGGATCAATTACCTTTTTTGTCTATTAAACGACCGTAATTAGTGTCTTGTCATTCTGTCTCAGTGTGTTTAGGTATTTTATTTAAATGTTTGGGTTCTTTCGCTATTGCTCGATATTTGTGTAACGATAGGTATTTATTATGTACGTATTCCTTTCCATGTTATTTTCGAGTTAGGGTTATTTTTATTAGTTACCTTTATGTTTCTGGAGTAGCTTGTAGCGCAATGAATATTGGGTTCGACCTTTTAAGCAATTTCGCAATGGCTGGACGGGAAACCAAAAAAGTTTTTTTTTAAATTCTTATGTGCTTCGGATGAAATTTTAAACCATCCCTTTATATGCAGTTTTATCATCCACTATTCTGCACTGCCATGTGGTGAGTAATGTTGTGCTCTTCTTTCTATTGTGTCCAAAGGCTTGTGTCCCAACTCAATAGATGGTTCATTATTAGGATGTTGATCATATATTTAATTCTGTTTTGTAACCGTTAAATAGAATCCGTGGTACAAATATCCCATACTTAAATGTCAGAACCTTTTTATTTATCACATCCGCCTTGGTATTGAATATAAACATCAAGCAAATTTTCAACACGGTTTAAGGTTGCATTACATGATTAATGAATGACTTAATAATATATGTATGAACTCAATCAATTAGTCACATTTGCTTCAAATATTGATTATTGTTTACGTTGTATCATAATAAACGTAATTATACAAATTATGACATAAGTTTTCGTATTGCGGACAACTATTGGTAACAAATTATTTAAGTTGCGATATTTTTTGATCATTAATCAAATTTTTTCGACGTTTTACATTGAGGTGATGTTGATATCTTTAAGTTCGCAATTAATAGAATTTGATATCATGTTAAATTATTCTGAATTGGTCAATGAAAACGAATTGATTTGTGACGACGAACGTCGTGATAATATGATGATATCATTTATTACTACAACAACGACAAATTGGAAAAAATATTATTTCAGATTGATTTAGTCCTCGGTTACGCTAACCGAGGACTTTATTTAATTTTAAATATATTTCAGTCTTCATTATAGTGATGACAGATTTAAACGAAAGGCTATTGAGTCCGTCAGTTAGATTACCAAATATTAAATGACATATACTTTTTCCTTTGTCAATCAACAAAAAATATAACATAGATAAGGCGCGTTGAAAGTCTCGTGACGTCAATTCTAAGTAAAAATTCTACCAAGATATGACGTCATGCGACATTTCTAATCAATATATATCTGTTTTGATTATGCGAAAATGAAGGACTGATGGTGTCCGGACGCGGCGAAGGTCAGGAACCGGTCTCTGATGCTTTGGTGGTCCCGTACGTCGACTTCGAAATGTTGACGATTGTGGCTATGGATGAAGTAGATGTTAACGAAAGGGTCGCTGAATATATATTTAAAGTTCACCTGAGTTGAAACCGTTGTATGATGTCCCCGTCCTGTTGTAGGAAGGTGTTGACCTTGGCGAACATGAAGGTCTGATGATGTCCGGACTCGGCGAAAGTCAGGAATCGGTCCCTGTTGCCTTATGGCGGTCACGTACGTTAACGTGGATATGTTGACGGTTGTGGCTATGGAGAGAAAACGTCGCTGAATACAATTTTAAAGTCCACCTGAGTTGAAACCGTTGTATGATGTCCCCGTCCAGTTGTATGAAGGTGTTGTCCTTGGCGAACATGAAGGTCTGATGGTGTCCGGACTCGGCGAAAGTCAGGAATCGGTCCCTGTTGCTAGGGGGGATGGGAGGTATGACGGTCGCGTACGTCGACGTGGATATGTTGACGGTTGTGGCTATTGACGAGGTGGACGTTAACGAAAGCGTCGTTGGTGGTGGGACTGTAATAAAACGTTTAAAAAATATATCCTTAACTATAATAATAATTTAACGGGCACATAGAGTTGGTAGAGTATCAAAGCTGCTACAGTATAAATCTGATAATATATATATATATGCTTAAGTGCCTTAAGCAGACCCGTCATAACCTAAAGATTGACCTTAATTCACATTTGTCTGTGGCATTGGTTGTGTTTACATTATTGGGCGGAGATAATACTTTTTTTTACAATTATAATTTTTAAATTGTGTGTGCTGTTAATCGTAGATGACCTTTACGATGCGGATGCGGACTAGCAGAAGCGAGATCCTTAGGGGACTTCAAAGCGGGAAATGGCGAGAGGAAGTGTCCGCTCCACCGTTGTAGATTCACTAGGCCTCTCGAGACAAAGGGGCGTCGGCTTAACTAGAAGGAGTCTGAGACTCGGACCTTAGCTCTGGTAGGCCATACTCGTAGGGGAAGAGGAAAAACGACCTGGTAAAAAAAATATGTATACTTGGTATATAGCACGTCGTGTCTCGACAATCTTCGCACTCTTATTTTACAAGTGCAGTGTCTGTCCAATGCTAAGCTAGTCCATGTATGCTAACTGAACGTACCTATAAGAAACGCTAGCTTATTTTTGTTTTTATTTTATTCCTAGAACAGTGAGCAAATAAATATACCACCTATTGAAATGATCACCAAATATAACAATAATCGCTCATAAAAATACAATCGGTAACCTAACTTAACCACTTAATAATTGTATTTTTAAGGTGATTACTTATTATTATCTAAGGATCCTTTAAATATGTATTAAGAAGTAAGCACGTACTCTTTTCCTCTGGAGCAAGATCCACCGGTAAGCTGCACCAGACATCAGCTGTTCCACAGAATATTATAAGTGTGATCAACTTTATTCTTCTTCTTAGCAACAACAGCTCCATCTTGCTCGATTGCGGTCATTTATCTGGAAATTTATGAAATGTAATATATATATTTATTTATTTAGGTGAATTAAAATTTGTGGAAATTATATCTTGTCTTTAAGCAGAAAACAGTATTTTGTGTATTGTTTCGACCCTGGGTAGCTTCAGGAACATCATTGTTCCTTATTGCGGTTACACAAGGGATTTAGCTACCTACTTATAAATACACCCCGGCTTTCTTTAGCATCGGTCATAGACAAGGAAGGCTGCGCAGTTGCAATTTTTCATACAAAAACGTTTACTGCGCAAGTTTATTTGTCTGTGGTTTTGGACAACAGCAGCCTAACCTATACCTTATGATAAATCACTAAAATATGTTATCGACTTCTTTGTTAAAAGTTTATTTTCTTTGCGAAGAACACAAAGTTACTTCGATTTTGAAAGGACAATACAAAGATATTTTTTTAATAACATCTTTAGTAACGATGCAATAAAAATCAATGTGTATTGCTTCTGCATGTCTCCCGTAGATCTATTAATGCCATTAAACAAAACCGACTCCAGGGTAATTTTCTCCAAAACATTTCCGTTTTGAACTTCCATCAAAGAAAATCATGCCTTCGCACACTTCGTTAAGGTTGTCTATAGCATGAGTAACGTTCGCATCGAGTATTGAGCGGAAATACGGAATCAGACTTGTGGTGTGGGCCGACTCCGACTCGCCAGTCTTACTTGACCCGTACATCTTTACACTCTACTAAAGAATTCGTAGTTTTGTGACAACTTCGACGGTCCAATAACGCTGGCCTTGATGTAACATTAAATTGGCTCAAGTAACCGCCGTTGTCTCAAGATGTTGTTCTCAGTTGACACATTGGCTTTTAAGTTTGAAATCAGATTTAACAAGTTTATGAATCATGGCAGTTCACGTGGAAGAAATGACAGTAACGATAAAGGAAGTAAATTTACTTGTAGATTTTATTGGATGATTTAAATTAAAACGTTAAGTGGTCACAGAAAATTCTTCTGACTTCTATTAAAACATATATTGCTTATTCAAGTTTAACTTGTACGTACTTACATGGTAACAATAACTGATTTTCCTTGTAATACACTAAGGTAACAAAAACATCACAAATGGAAAATCCAGATTCGGTACATTTTCGACGATTACGGAAAACAAGTGACGTTTGACGAATTTTCCCGCGTTTAAAGTAAAAACTTTTTTAAATGCAGCGGCGCATGGTGTTTGGAACTTTTTTCACGTATTTTAATGAGTCCAGAAAACGAAAAGAGGCTCTTCTTTTTATTTTTTTTTGTCGTTATTATTTTTTATTTGAGTCTAACCAGCCAGGTCATCGGTAACGTGTCCCCTGATGGCGGTCGAGCACTGACGCGAACTTTAACAACATGTAATAGCACCGACAATTTGTCCTCGTGGGTCACAGGCGAACTCGGGATAAGGACACTGTAGCTTAGCAGAGAGTTCGTTTGAGCGGATTGAAAATCAGAATTTTTAAACAACGATGAAATGACATGTTACATTTAATAGACTTAAAAAAGATAATAAAAACTCATACAAATTATATGCGTTTGTAGGAAAGTAATATTTATTCATCATAAACAAAACATATAATATAACACATTACATGGTTAAAAATAAAAAAAAGGGAAAATGTTTACTTGGAAAGGTCATATCGTGTTGTAAATATTAATAATGACATTTACTCAAAAAATGAAGTGGGTACGCAACCTACATCATGGTGTCTCTTCTCAATCATTATTATTGATTATGGCTCAATCAAAAATAAATCTTGTCGTAGCCGTTGACATTAATGTGAGAAAAATATTCTGTCGCTGTCGTAACATGAGCGCATGACGTGACAGACTTTGCGCTTTTAATCTTCATCCCACCATTACATAGGTGCTATTACGTATTTTTATGAAGAGTATAGATTATTATTGGATTACTTATTTCGTTTGTTGCTCAACCTGGCTTAACATAAAATACTATGGAATACATAGCATACTTTTACTCACGATAAAAAAAGGTTTGTGATTTCAAGCCTACCAAAGTTAAGCTTCGGACAAAATCTAGTGTTCATGTTTCAACTTCTTTGCTAGACTATGGTATTTTTATATCGATTCTTGTTTAAAAGACTATTTTATTCGAATATCATATAATTCAAACATAAGTGTATGTATGAAAAACGTATGTATAAATCACTAAAAACTTGTCTTGAGATTGTGATTCCAAAGGTCACATAGACGGAGACGAAACCGAACCGAAAATAAAATTATTATTTGGGGGTTCTCTACAAGACTTATATACATTTCAATTGCGCAAGAGTCTAGCTATTACTGTGTTGATACGTAGTTTATCAATACAACCATAAAACACTAACATAGACAGTTAATTTGTTTAATAATCGGGATAAGGGGAAAGAACATTTCCCTTATTCTTCCTTTTCTTTCTTACAACACGTACAGGTCTGTAGTCTGTGGTTTTATCTCGTTTAGTGCTTCTATTCCACCGGCAATTAGGCTATTTATTTTTCTTTGAACTTTGACTGCTACGAAACGAGTTGTTTCACTTTTCTAAAAGTGAAACTTTTAGAAAAGTGTAAGTGTAACTTATATTATATCGCCACAAATTTTTTCGTTCATCTTCAGCTTGGTGATAAAATTTTTAATTGTTAAAAAAACAGACCTAATCAACAAGCATCAGTGGTTTAGTGGTAGAAATCTCGCCTTCTACTCAGACGGCCCGGGTTCGAATACCAACCGAAGAAGAACTTTTTTATTAATGATTTTAAAACATTTACTTGCATCGTGGATTCATAATACCACACCATTTTTTGCCACCAATATTTTTTTTACTACAAAGGTGGGGTGAGAGTGGTTAGAAACTGCGACATATCTCACCTCCCATTCTTTCCTTTCCGACCCCGACAATCTGGGAGGATTTAGTCGTTCATTGGGATAGGTAGGTATACAAGAAATATCCCAGCGGATCATCTAAAGAAGCATGACTGCATTACGTGACTAATTAATGGCACACGCAATCACCCAACACTGGAGTATGTAGGTGATGCACAATCTTAATTGGTAAATTACTCTTTCAACTCGGTACACTGGCGTTTTGACACCTATTATGATAGCAGGACATAAGAATATAGGAGATTATCAACATTTGTGGTACTTCCTAAAATGACACAAGAAGGCTGTTATTCTGAAAGTTTATTAACGGTATTACTTTTATCAATGAGATTTGTATTCCACATATACGGGTTATCAAATAATCTTCTTTCTTTGGAAAATTAAAGGAAAACCACCGTATGTTAAATAATACGGAATAAATATTTTTTTATGTCAATTTCCCTCACGCCATAACTTTTAGAAAGAGATTACCGATTTTATCCATCTTTTTAAAGTTTTCTTATTATTTCTAAAAGTTCTTTAAGACGAACAAAAAGTTGAACAGAATAAGAGAATTTAAGAAAACTTAATTTAACTTACAACGCTACACGATATTTTATTTCGAGGTCATTGACATTGCGACATTGGTAACAATTGAATAGGGACCTGCAACTACTTATGTAGTAGTATTATGTACAAAAAGGATGGCGAGTTGGAAAAAATACTTTACAAGAGAATTAATTAAATTATAAGCATGTGAAAGTCAAGGTGTTATTTTTAGAAAAGATATAATTTTTGATACGCAAATTAATAGTTAGATTAATTTGTGTATCAAAAATTCTATCTGCTACTAAAATTTACGAGAAATGTTGTGAATCCGCGACTTCTGTATTTTTACATAATCTCTGTCTATTTTTATGCAGAAGCGATAATCTTTTATCAGATCAAATGATAATAAACTGTACCGACTTTCTTTTTTTAACATCACAAGCGATTCACTTCGCTTTCATTTCAATATCATGTTTGGAGACAATAAAATGCGTGACATTTTTAGAGGCGTAAAACTCGGTATTATCAACTTCAGGCACGAACTTCACTTCACTTCACTTGGGAACAAATGTTACGTAAATATTGGCAAATCCATCATCTGAAATTCGGTCTTTAACGGTGTTAATTAAAGAATTGATTATGCGCGGATGTCGGTTAATTAGATTTCGGTATGGCGATCGGATAATGTTCAAACAAAGGCTTTGGAAGCAATAATTAGGTGTTTTATAATAAACCAATTCGTTATAAATGGAATCGGTAATTAAAATGTCATAGCGTTATTAATGTAAAAGCAATAGACAATTGAGACACTTTCCATTGATTAACCGGCGCTCTACGAAAGTGTTATAGATAGCCACAAATTGGCTATCTAAAACCTCATAATCTTTTTAAAAGAAGGATTTAATCAGAATGTGTTTAAGTTTCGTGATTCAAACAGTGCAATACGGATTAAGTAAGAGTTTTGTTAGCAGTTTTCAAGTAATTTAAAATTATATCTACAAAATTTTAATATTCGAAGACCTAATACTGTATCCTGTAAAACGGAATGTCACGACGCGGTTGACCTCTGCAGTAGTGGCCTACTCGTTATTTCTCGCCCACTTCATATCTCGAAATAGACTAACATTTTATTAAGCTTTAAAAATATCTAGTTTCAAGGGATATCAGATGTACTTACTTACATAACATGGATAAATTCACGCCATATCAATCCACTCGATGGCGCAGGTGGTTAGGACATTCGTCCTGCGATTGTGAAAGTTAAGTTACTTTCCTAATGGTCGGTCATTGGATGGGTGCCCAAAAACTTATTATCTCGAGCTCCTCGGTGCTTCGGCAGGCACGTTAAGCCGTTGGTCCCGTTTGCATCTGCAGTCGTTAGTACCCATCAATCCGTACTGGACCGACGTCGTGGGTCACTTCAGTCTACCTATGCCATCATCTTGACATGGAAAGGCCTGTGCCCCAGCGGTGGGGACATTTATCTAAGGTGCTGATGACAACATTCCGCAGTAATTAAAGCAACACTATTACGTCAGAATGAATAAGAAGAAATATATAGGTATACTAGCTGACCCAGCGAACTTCGTACCGCCATAAAAAAAATTAATTAAAAAAACATTGTCCAGCGGGCAAAATTGTGAATCTAAACCATTCTCAGATCCCCTTGAACACACACAAAAAATTTCATCAAAATCGGTCCTGTCGTTTAAGAGAAGTTCAGTGACATACACACTCACAGAAGAATTATATACGGGCAAAATTGTGAATCTAAACCATTCTCAGATCCCCTTGAACACACACAAAAAATTTCATCAAAATCGGTCCAGTCGTTTAAGAGAAGTTCAGTGACATACACACTCACAGAAGAATTATATATATAAAGATAGGTAATCATAACTCGCATAGTGACATCTGAACATCACATTTGGCACTGGCAGTTTAAACGCACACTATTTTCGACAGCTTGGATGTGATGTTACAATACACCTAAACCACGGTAATATTATCTATTAAACCTACAAACAATGTACATATATATATTGTCATTTTGCGTGCCATACCTTTACTGGGGATGGAAGTCGGAACCTATGTTATTATGTTTCGTAATTTTGGTAAGAATTTCAATGCCACAGTGAAAAGTTGCATTCGGTGTCGAGGTGGAACGGGGCTTTGACATCTACGTACTTGCACTATAATCTTGTTGACAACATCACGTTTGTAATATTTTTAAGTCACAACCGCTCTCGTGGCGATTCAGAATATTTGAATTTCACACAAGTTTTTGCACTTCCAAATCATTAATTTCTTGCACGCAAAAATAAATCATTAACAAATATTGATGAAGGGTCATTTTAAAGTAATGGAGTTTATAAAAAAATATAAAATGAGGCTTATTTGAATTACATGCCAATTTTCTTATTACTGCTCTATTAACATATTTGTTAACTTTGACCGCAGTATTGACAGCAGACTTAGGTTATAAAATTTTTGTTTACTTAATGATAGTTCATATAAATAGTTCTGTTTTGATATTTTTTTTTTCCAAATATGCTTTAGTATAAATCACGCCTTTTAGGTATACGTGATTGGCTCGTATTACAGAATGACAACTAAGTGCTTAGATTAAAACAAAAAGGGTAGATACGGTACGGTCATACTTGCATCAAACAAAAACTGATCCCACTGCAGCGCGAA